TCCGGGAGGCAACAAGATTTGCAGCTGCTTACTGTAGATCTGGAAAGGTAAGACTTTTTTTTTTTTAGGCCTCTGGGCTAATCTATTGACATTTATCTTAACATTAAAAGAAAGCCTTCCATGTGTCTATTGTAGCTCTTCAGGGGTGGCTGGTAACTGAGGAGGCGTGTATAAGGTAGAAGAAGAGTCCAGTGAATCGGGTCCCTTTGTAAATACCCTGGTCTTGGTAGCTCACCTCTTGGGAAACATCCCACGTTGCCCCCATTTGGGGTGAATCTTTCCTTTGAGCGCTCCCTTTAACATTTTGCCTTGTGGTTTGATTAATTATGTGCCTCCAACCTCTACCCCTCCTCCCCATTAATTCTAAGCCCCTTGAGTGAGCAGATGGGCGACCCCCACAATGCTTAGCACAGAACTTTGCTTGGATGATAGGTGTTCAGTGTAAGCTTGTCTTCTGTAAGTTAAGTGTTACGGTTAAAGAGTGTCATCTTAGTCTTGGTGTTTCAGTCCTGAGAATCTTGACCTTTCAGGTAGAGTAGTAGAGGGAGAGGGAACAGTGAGGTTGGCTTAGGTGCCATCAGAGCTAGTAGAAAGGATGGTGTTCTCCCTCAGTTGGTGTTCACAGCCCAGGAGGCATGTCTCTAGGGTTTACCTTTCCCTGACATCCCCTGTGCGGTAGGATTTGGCTAGCAGTGATGCAAATGGGAAATGGGGGTGGAGCAGGGAGGGAGATGGAGAGGGGCTGCATGTGAGGAAAGAGGAATGAAATCGAGTATGGCTGAGGGGGCAGTGAGCTCAGCCGTCTACACTGGGACTCCCAAGACTAGAGGTCCAGGCTTGGGCGGTGAGTGTCATTCCCCTCTTCCCCAGTTCCTGAAAGAACATGCAAGGTACAAACTTACATGGAAACAGGATCGCTGGTTTATAGTATGTGTTGACTTTCACAGCCTGATTTTGGAATTAGGGGAGAGTCTAGAAACCCCCTTAGCCCAACCCACTGTGTTTTCCAGTAGCTCCTGGATGGCATAGAACAGAAAAATAGGTGACACTTAGTGAGGGATTGACGTGTGCCAGTCAGGCGATGCAGTAAGCACTTCTGTGTTAATCAGCACAACCCTTGAGTTAGGTCCCTCACCTGTAAAACAGTAACCTAAGGCACAGAGCAGTTAAGGGTATGTAGCTACTGTACAGGAAAGCGCAGATTGGATCCCAGGTGCTTGGGCTGAGAGCCAGGCCTCGCCCATCCCTCAACTGCTGCACCAAACTGCCCAGGGGTCCTAGATCTCCCCTCTCCGGAGCCTCAGTGTTCAAAGTTGTCTTCTGGAAGGGGGCTAGTATATATAGCAGGAGGAAGCTGTCTTGGGGGTGGTTTGGCTGGCCAGCAGAGTCACAGGGCTACTCCTCAGACGTTGCAGTGACCACCAACTTTGTCACATGCTAGCCGGACCTGCGCGGGCGGATGGGGTGTCAGCCCCTCTGAAACTGCATGAAGTGGGGGTGAGGTAGAGATTGACCTGCCCACCCTTCCGCACTTTCCAGCACACCTAGAGGTTTGCTTTTAGGCTTATTCTGTGCGATTTTGTAGTGGTATTTTTCTCTAGCTTTTTAAAAGGATCCAAATGCTTGTAGATCATTTCATCTGTGAAAGGCAGTGGGCGGGGGGAACTAGCTTTATTGACCCTGAAGATAATACCTGCTTTCTAATAGGTTTTTCTGCATTAAATCTCAGCTGTTTTATAGGATGATTATTTATCAAAGGCAATGCCGATGAAATATTTAAGATCAGTGGGCTCTATAACTTGTTCAATGTCTTTTTGATTTTAAATGAGAACGATGAAACATGGAATACATAGGTTTTAGCTAATAGGAAATTCTTGACACCTCAGCCAACTTAGAATCTGATGAGAACTATCTTTGACTCTGAAAGGATATGCTGTGCCCATTGTGTCTCCACTGGGTTCTGTTTTAGGGGCCCATACTGATGGAGCTACAGACTTACCGTTACCATGGACACAGCATGAGCGACCCCGGTGTCAGGTATGGTCTTGGGAAATCAGAGTGTGGTGTCCCAAGTGGGTGGGCTTTGTGTGGTTCCACTCACATGAAAAAGCAAAGCATTTCGACATTTGCTTTGGAAGCCAGACACCAGTGGGCTTCATTCAGTGAATTAGTTGGTGTTGAGTAGGTATTTGACTCTTTGCCGGGGAGCATTCTGAAATTCCCTATAATATGTACTGTGTTCATGTTAGCGTGACCAGCAATAAATTGGAGAGACGGGGCACCTGGCTGGCTCGGGGTAGAATTTGTGAATTCAGGTCTCAGATTAGGGGTAGAAGTTGCTTTTAAAAATTGCAGAGAGAAATTGTTTCACAAACCAGGTCGATGGTGTAGAGTACATATATTCAGGGGCATGTAGCTTTTGTAGGCATTACCCCAATAGAGTCGGAATTTGAAAACCTGGCTGGTAAGGAGTGAGGCCACCCGGCAACCTGGAGCATGCAGTATGTCGAAATCAGTCAAAACATGGTAGGTTACACTAGGAAGATAGGGAAGATAGTTTTACTAGTCCCCTTAGTAACTCGGGCATGTAATGCTGCCATCCCAAAGTAGATTTAGTCGGGAGTAAGCCAGCCCTAACAAGCCTGGGAGTAGATTAGAGTTTGAAGGGAAAATGTTACAAAGGGCAACTTACAGGGAAAAATAACTTGGTGTTTTCAGAACAGTAGAGCCCTCCGTAAATAACAGGTTTCAAAGATGTAGGACAAGGATGTACAGTTGACCTTTGAACGACACAGGTTTGAACGGCACGGGTCCTCTTTACACAGGGATTTTCTTTTTCAATAAAACAGTACTATTCTGTATTTTCTCTGGCTGTAACACTTCTGGCTTATGTTAATACAGCATATAATGCATGTAACATACAAAATATCTATTATTAGTAAGACTTGTTTTTCGGGAGTCAAAATTGGCAGATTTTCAACTGTTTATGGGGGTGTGTTGGCGCTCTTAAGCCCCACGTTGTATTCTAGGATCACGAATGGGAAAACCTACGGTCCAAGTTTTTGCTGGCCCCACTTCTCTGGGCTCCAGAACTTATTTCCTGCTTGGCATTCCGCCACCTTCCAGTCTACAGTTCTCACCACCCACCTAAAATGGCACATAAAGCAGCTCTACCACTTTCTTCATATCCTACATCTCGATCAAAGCAGCAAATAAAAGCTTAGCCCCTGTTAGAATGCCTGAGAAGGCAGAGGAATTGCCAGGGCAGAGTTTTCTATGAAAGATCTAGAATGTTAGAGGCAGCATTCTTGTATCTATCTTGAGAGGATAATGGCTCTGTGTCAAACTGTCAGAAACCTCCGTCTGTAGTTCACAGAAAACTGTTCTGACCTACTTGTTTGCCTCCCTCTAGTTACCGAACACGAGAAGAGATTCAGGAAGTAAGAAGTAAGAGTGACCCTATTATGCTTCTCAAGGATAGAATGGTGAACAGCAATCTGGCCAGTGTTGAAGAATTAAAGGTAGGCTCAACCGGTGTTTCTGCACCCAGAGAGCTGCCGCTCCTGGGGGAGCTACCTCGGTCAGGGGGAAAGGATGGATTGTAGTGTCATAGGACACTATGAAGCAGTCCTGTTTGCTTAGCCTTGCAACCCAGTAGCACAATTCTGTGTTCCTAAAAATAGACTTTAGGTATTCATCATTGTTCCCATTGGTAACCCCCCAAATATTCCTGTGGATCATTGCCATTTAAACACCTCTTCAAAAATAGTACTTCTAGTCCTAGAAGAGTTCTAGTTCCATACTGGCAACATGTTCCAAGTAGAACTAGTTGGCATTCTAAGCTGCTGTTTATTCAAAAACCTCTTGAACTGTAATCTGATTTTTAGGAAATTGATGTTGAAGTGAGGAAAGAAATTGAGGATGCTGCCCAGTTTGCCACTGCTGATCCTGAACCGCCTTTGGAAGAACTAGGCTATCACATTTACAGCAGCGATCCACCTTTTGAAGTTCGGGGTGCAAATCAGTGGATCAAGTTTAAGTCCATCAGTTAACAGGAGAGTGCACGTGATGGATGGTTACACCTTCAGTGGGCTGTTGGACTCCCAACTGTAAGGGACTCTGTTCTCAACTTTGTTAAGGAAGAAAACCACATAAAAAGAATGTAGGCTAAGATAGTAAGTGCATGTGTTTTGTACAGTGCATTAAAAGGTGTTACTGCACACTTAAGTGTGAATATTATATAAGATTTTAGATTTCAAATTATTTCCTTAAAATGGTTCTATTTCTTTTAATAACAGTATTTGCTAAATAGTACACAAATCAAAAGCCATTCCTACCTTTGAGGGGAGCGTGAGCATTCCCTTGACCTTTGCAAGGGCCTATGCACACCCCTCATCAGCGTAGGGGCTGAAGCCTCTTTACAGTGACCGTCATTTCTCAATAAAATATTATCTCCAGGGAGGGGGGTAGAAGGACAATTCCAGTTTTTCTAAATACTTTATTTTTAAGTAATCTCTACACCCAACGTGGGGCTCGAACTCATGATGCTGAGATCAAGAGTCGCACACTCCACTGACTGCACCAGCTGGGTGCCCCGACACCACCATTTTTAAATAAGACCATAATCATTTCAACAGCCAAATAACTTAAGTTTTCTTCATTTATACATTAAATACAAAGCTATTTTCTTAATAGTTTTCTATTTACATTCATATCAAACATTAAATACAAGGCATATTACCAATTTTATCTTTTTAAGTACAATGCCAGTTTATAGTAACCTATGGTCTAAAACAGTGATGCCCAGCCCACCCTGTTACTTTAGACACCTGTTTCACAGGTGTACTGAGTTTTCCACTGAAGCAACATTGAAATTCGTTTTAAAGAATTCCACAATATTCTGGGACGTCAAAATTAGAGTTCAGTCACTGTTCTCACAATACGTAAAGTTCTACTCACCTTTAAAACATGTTAAGTAACAGGTTTTAAAAAAAAAAACCCATCCCACGTCAGTAATTGTTTAAAACTTCAATTTCTTAAATAATGCGGTCTTCCTTGTGTCAACGCAATGGAATTTGTGTTATGTTAACAGAAGTTTTACCAAAGATGCCAGCTCTTGGCTCCCTCTGTCCCCTGGCCTAGCCGACTGGTTCAGCCTCATCTTGGGAGGCCAGGGACCCCTGAGCCCTCCGGTATTGGGAGACTGCTGTCCAGAGCCTGCAGAGGAGACCACCACTAGGAAACAATCAAGAGTCGTCTTTAAAGAGTCGTAAGAAGAGAGAATTTCAAAGTCACACCACCAAATACTTATTTAAGAGCCCTTATGTCAAAAGCTACAGTATATAATTCTAGACTTGTCTAGATTGCCAAAATGCAGTTCCTAACTTAAATAGAGCTCTGTCCCCGTGTATTTGGGCTCCAGCAGGAGTGGCACATGGCCTCAGAGGCATGTACAGGAGGGCCAGGTGGCTGTGTGCAGGGCAGGCTGAGGAAAGAAGGGCTGGAGAGAGTCCGGAGGGCAGAGGACTGCTGAGGGGGTTGGGGGGAGCTCTGGGGTTTCACATCCCTTTGGTACCCAACTTTACCGGAAGAAAACTCCAGAGCTGGAGGGGAAGGTGGGTAGTTGGTTTTCTGACTAAGCCACGGATAAGAAAATTAATTTCAATGAAGGGGGAGAGTGACCACCACTTTGTTTTCTGATTTAGAAGCACAATCACAGGAAAAAAGTCATTTTCTATTACAATGTTTTGAAGCCTTTCTTACCGTAGTCTAAGGTGTCTTAGATCTTCCTTAGTGATGTCATTAAGAATATCAGAAAGGGTATAGCCCTCTTCAATAATCTGAAACAAATATCAAATACAGAAGAGCTAAGCTGCTTGTAATAATGACTTAGGAATTTTTTTTTTTTTTTGGTCACAGATTTACCTTTTCTATTGTACTCGCATCTGCTCCTTGAAGTTGTAACCAGTCTATGAGCTCTTGATCAGTTTTTTGCCCCTGAGACCCAGGAGGGGATGCTGGGTTCTCTGTAGTATCTGCAATGATGAGAAATTTGTTTTGTTGTGTATTAATGTTTAACAGTAAAACTCTTCAAAAGTAACAGATTGGATGAAATAAACTATTACATACAACATAAGTGTGATTTGAAAGGATATGAGTTAAACCTGTCTGAGCTGCTCTAATCCACAGTCCGTAGTTCCTGGATTCACTTTCCAGAGATTAAAGGGACCACAGGTAAGGGTAATGTTACTTACTTGGGAATTTGATGTGCTTTATGTCTACCACTTTAAATGCTTAGTCCAGTCTTTAAAATGCTTTTTATAAGGAATCCCATCCTTAACTGCACTGGAAATCAAATGAGGACATGGGACTCAGTACTGAGATTTTTGTGTCAGTGCTTATCCATCCCACATTCCAAGAGGTGGCTGGCTGCAGCTGTTTCGTAAGTGGCACGAAATGGATTAGGTTTACTAAGGTTTCATTTCTGCAGTCACCCTTTTTAGGTATGTAGTGCTGTGAACTTTGATGAGCAGTCATGTAACCATCCAGATGACAAATTTCCATCACCCCCAGAAGTTCTTGCAGCCTTTTACAATCAATCCCCTCCCCCCATCCTGATGCTTTCTGTCCCTCCAAGTTTTGCCTTTAACAGAGTATTGCATCAGTATTCCATATCGAGGGACTCATGGTGTGTAGCCTTTTGAATCGGCCTTCACTGAGCATAATGCGTTTGTGATTCATCCACGTTTTTTTGAAGGTACCAGTGGTTTTCTATTACTGACGAGTATTCCAGACTATACTGGAGTACTTACTGCTTTACTAGAGAGTAACTGCAACTGTGGCAAGGCTAAGAACATTAGCCGGATTTTAGGTGGTCTCACACACAAGTCAGCAAGTGGAAAATTACCATTAGATTTGAATTGTAACTGAAGATGATATAATTCTTGAGTTTTCTGCTCTAGGGTTTGCCGCAGAAGATTCTGATACTCTCTTTCTTTCTGAACTAGGTGTTCCAAAAGTCTGGTTAAAAAAAAAAAAATGCCATTATTCAGAGAGCGCCATTCAGTTCTACTCAAACATTGGTTGAACCTTAGAGATTGGGGGTGGGGTGGGGAATGACACAATCCCAACAGTCTACCTGTACCTGGGCCCCTCCCTTGTGTTTCCTCCCCTTGAAAACAAAGACATGGGTGTATTTTGTCTCAAAATGTATCATGAACCGGAAGATAACCTGAGGGTGATCAGTAAACTCAGCCAGGAGGAGCTGGTGATGACAGCTTGTCTCCCGGAGTCTCATCAAGTTGCTGAAAGGAGCTCTCAGGGTTTTTCCTCCTCAGGAGGAAGCCAAGGAGCTGGCAGCCCAGCGTGTGTCGGGCAGTGGCGGGAGAGCACCGGCAGAAAGATGACCTCACGCGAGAGGAATACACCTGCGAACGTGTATGGGACCGAGGACCGTGCTAAATGCTTCGCAGGCGCTGGACAGAGCAGGTCCGCCCAAGCCCCGCAGCTCCGGGCAGGATGCCCGGTCGTCGAGCTCTGCACGACAGCAGCCCCGGCGGCCGCGGAGAGCAGCGTGTCTGTCAGCCGTCTGCAGCCGGCGCCGGCTGTTAGTCCTCCTCCCGAGACCCCAAGGAAGCAGAGGGACTATCGACAGTGCCGATGAAGCTCAGAGCGAACAGTTTCTACATTTGGTGATTATTATAAACCCTACCGGAAAATATTTTAAGGAAGTGCTAAATATCACTATCAACTTCCACATCTGTCATACTTTAAAAGCTTTCAAAATTTTGCCCCCACTACCTTTTAATTAAAACTCGGATCTCAAAAATTTTAAAAAACACTCTAGGTCTCTCTAAAAGGAAATGACTAGAACTGCCTAACTTTATAGAGATCGCCAGTGTGTATACAATGTTTCTGCCATGATCCCTATACCTGGCACCACATCTCCCTGTTACACATTAATCGGCATCAGCAGTGACCACAGGGCAACAAGGCAGCCTTTGGAACCAGTACCAACAAGTTCGCTCTGCCTGGGGGCTGTATTTTTTTTTAAGTCCACTGATGACGGGATTATCCAGAGCAAATGACAATCGATTTACTCATTTAACAAATTTTAAACCACCTACTTTGTGCCAGGAAGTGAATTAAACAGACCAGCTCTCTTGAGGGGGACTTCAGAGCCATGCTAGGGTGCCCTGGCTGCGAAGGCAGTGCATGAGCGCCTGCCAGGGAATCGTGACGAGAGGAGAAGGCAAACTGACCCAGGGTCAGGGTCATAGGCTGCATGTCTGTCAGATGAAGTGCCAACCAACCCCTGGCTTGGCTACTGACATGGAGACAGGCTGCAGATGCCCACTGGTGAGCCTGTTGGACCCACACGCCCCGCCAGCGGCCGCGTCTGAGTGAAAAGACAGAAGACCTCCCGAGACGCTGCTGCCTTTAGCATGGCTAACTGCTGTGTGGCCGGTGGCCAGGCGCCAGACCGCTCTGATCGCTACTGTTCAAGAAAGGGAGGCATTCTCCCCCAGGTGAAGCTGAGGACACCCCCTTCACACACTGCCTTGGTGAAGATACTCTTGTGAGACCTGGGAGGGACACTCTGCAAGGCCACGGATTCCCTTACTGGCCCCGGTCACCGTCCCACCCCTGCCCACCTGTTGGTCTCCTGTCTGAGCTCGCCCAGCTCGAGGCTCAGGTGCTGGTGGTGGAGCTCCTGGGGCTGGGCCCCGGGGGCACCCGCGGAACTGAGGCTGCTCCCTCCAAACGCCACGTGAGCTTCACGGCCAGGCACGTCCGCTGGGGGATAGTCCTCTTCGACCTCGTCCGTGTCCTTATCCACCCCCTCGGTCTCTGATGCAGGCTCAAAGTGGGTGCGGAGCTCTGCCGAAGGGTGGCAGAAGAAAGGACCACGGTTAGGCAAGGCCAGGGCGTAGCGTCGCTGATGTCCGCTGCCAGCACACGAGACTGCCCGGCGGCCGGCCCAGCCGATGCAACGCTCTTACCGGGGCAGCTGACATTATAAATGGGGAGGAGACTACTTTACTCCGTTCTGTGCAGTGAAAAGACGATCACCCCTGGGTTACAGATGACAAAACGGAGGCTGAATGTTAAATCAGCCAAGGACAGTTTTGAAAAGGTACAACCCGACTTCCAACCTGGCCTGGGTTCTTTTTACTAAAGAAAGGTGCCTGCTTGGAGTGGGGCGTCCTGGGGTCTAACGAGCTCCTGGGGAAAGCTGCCCCTGGGCACAAGCCGCCATGACAGGGAGGGAGCCAAGTTGAGAGAGCAAGTGGCACTGTCAACAGAAGCTGCTCAGAGCCTCCCTTCCCAGGATGAAGTCACCACAGGAGAGTGAACCTGGGGATTAAGCTGCTCTGACAGTTCACAAATGAGAGTACAAAAGCCTAAGATTTCTAGAGCTACCACATGATGAGTCTGACAGGAGGTGGAACCACTGCACTCAAGCCTCCAGTCGGCGGTCCCGAGTGTGTAAGAGGCTGCACTGCAGGATCCTGGCCCTCAGGCTCAGTGCTCCCTCTCAGATCACAAGCTTTGTCTCTATGCCGGCTCCTTGGTTGTGTCAAGAGGGCACATAAGTACCCCTCCCGAAGTTCTTAGCAATTTACTGAACCGCAGGGAAGTATACAGCCCAGATGGGAAAGAGAAAACGGCTGTCGAGTGCAGAGGATACTTGCGATCTCTTCCACAGCCTGAGCCTGACCTTGACCAAACAGGCAGCACTTACCCGGGATGAGAATGGTGACTGCAGCCTGCACCGCTCGACGGATGATGTTGTCCATCGCAAACATCCAGTGAGGCCTAATTAAGTGGTTCCTCAAAATTTTATTTACCTACAAGTCACAAAAATCCAGATTTCCGGTCCGCTGTACTTTTAAGAAAGAGGAGTTCTTACTCATTCTAGTTGACTTCTACTCTGAAAGAAAATGTCAACCACGCTGCTCTGCATTTCTACCTGACTTGTTCCTTCCAGACAGAGTCTTCCTGCAAGCTGCCCCTGAGTCCGGCTGGGTCTAGGGGACGGGCAGAGATCGGATCTCCCACACCGGGCCTCTCCATTGTTCATTCGAGGGGGGTTTACTGAGCACCTATGAAAGGTCAGGCTCTTCGCCAGGGGCCATGGGACACAAAGCTGCACCAGACACGGAAGCAGGCCTGCAGCCACTCTTACCTGTTTGCACAGACACGTAAGCTTAAACCGTGTATCTCCTCAGCCCGCAGATGCCCCCTGCTCCCGGGTCCTCTAAGTCCCATACTCCTGCTCTGAGGGGCCAAATGCCATCAGCCCGCTCACCGGCACTTGCATATTCTGTGTTTACAAGCCACTGCTGAAACTAGGATTTACGTGTAAGCAGGTTAGAAGAAACAGGGACTGTGGGAGAAGACGGTAACTCAACTCCATGGTCCTGGCTTTGAGCCACTTCAGTGGGCTTCCTGCCTTCTAGCACGTTCTTTAGGGCCAGACAGAACACTTACAGCATCCTGAAATCCAAACAGTACCAGATGAATCTGATTGATGGACGAGCTGTCAAAGTCCAGGTCCACCTTTAGCTTTGATATCGTGGATGCCATCACTCTGTGCTCCGGGGAGCGGATGAAGTCCCTCAGGATCCCAATTATTTGCTTGATGTGGCCGACTGAGAGATGCAAGTCTTCCGAACTCTGATCACCACCCCACCCCACCCCCCACCAAAATCACTTTCACTGAGTGAGTTAGAGAGGGAGGGGAAATTCGACAAGTATTATGTGGACACCCCAGGTGAGAAGGGGTCTGTTTCTCCAATTCCCTCCCGATCCTTTGTTAGGGGGCCCCTCTCCTCCCTGCCCCCCACCCCACACAACTAAACCCCTCTGGGAACGGTTCTGCCCTCCTGTTGAATCCCGTGTAACTGCCCTGCCCCGGCGCACCCCCCACCCCTTGTTAGAAGGCCTAGTTCGTAGTAGGGCAAGTGGCCTCTTCCTAAAAAGACCTTCCCACTTCCAAAAGAAGTAAATGCAAATACTCTTATCCATAACCTTTGTCCCTAAAGCAGCTGCTCTCCCAGCTTCTGAGGGCAACTTTGTGTGTCCTGCAGCTGGGGTTTCAAAACGAGATTCACATGAGTGAAGGACAAAGGCGGGGAGCCCTTGAGCTTTGCGCTGCATTTGGCTTTTTCCACCAGGGGGCAGCACCGCTCCATAAATGCCTGGGTTCACCGCAGTGCTCTGCAAATGCAGGCTTCAGGGGGAGTCTTTTTTTTTTTTCTTTGTATTTTCTTTTGTCTTGTTGGAAGAGGGAAGGACGTTGGGAAATACTTATAGTGATTACCGTAACTGCGCAAATGTCCCAGGGTAGCAGGAGCCTCGGGGTCCCGTTGGGACCTGTTCCGGGACCTGGCCCCGGGCGGGGGGGGGGGGGGGGCGGGATGAGGAGCTCCCCCCGACCTGGCCCTACCTGGGCCACGCACTCCTGCAGGTTGGAAGCCACCTGGTTCTGCTCCTCCCAGAGGATTCTGTACAGGATGGCACGGCGCTCGCTGTCCTTGCGCAGCAGGAAGAGGCCTGGGTCCCTGTCCTCCGGGGACGAGGCTGCACTCTCATCCGGAACACTGCAGACACACACATGCGACAATCCCTGTGCGTCCCAGAACAAAGTCTCCACGCTCCGACGCCGCGGGGGAGGGGCGAAGTGGTGACTCCCCCTGCAGTCCCCACCCTCAAGGTGAAATTGCAGAAGGCAGGCGGATGGAAGAGAGATGCAGTGTTTTTTTCTAACCCCAGGAGCACCAGTGTTGGGAGAGGGAGGAAAAAGGCGGGGTGGGGGGGGAGGGGGAGAGAATAAGGGGATAATTAAGGGGACGATGGGAGGAGGGGCAGAGGGGATAGGAGAGAAGGGGTAGTGAGGGGAGGAAGGGAGGAGGGTGAGGGAGGAGGGAGGGGGGTAAGCGACTACAGTGAACATGCAGCCCACTGCCTTCCTCCCCTGCACCGTTGGCCTACTGACGGCGCAGAAAGAAAGCAAAAGCCCTTGGTGGCCATCTGGTTTTGACCTGGGAGGTATTTGGCCCCTGGTGAACGCCAGTACCCCCTCGCAGGCCCACAGCGGAGGGAAGGGTTGGGCCGTACCTGAGCAGGTGGCTGAGCCGGTGCTTGGGTGCCCGGGCCTTCTCAAAGAACGTATCCAGCTGGGCATCAGAGTCCGGGGAGACAGAGCCGTGCTCGCTGCTGCTGCTGCCCAGGGGCTCCCCGGATGTGGGCAGGGCTAGGGCGGTGCCCCAGGTACTCTCTGTGTGGGGGCAGACAGGGAGAGGGGAGGGGAGTCTCAGCCTGCCCCTCAGGCCAGGTGACCCACGCAAGGGCCTGCGAAGTCTGTGCTGCTTTAACGGGGCAGCCCAATCCATCACCCAGGGGTCCCTGAAACGCAGGTTCCACTTGAGCAGGTCTGAGATAGGTGCAAGACTGCGCTTCTGAGCAGCCCACAGGAAACGCTGGCACAGCTAGCCGCAGTGGGAGCAAGCCGCTGAGCCTCCCCGTCCTGGCTTCTGACTCCATCCACACCAGGACCAAGACAACAAATGGCTTCGTTTTCAGAGGCCATTTTTATGTCACTGCTGGGTAGGACTCAATGCCCTAGAAGGGGTCACCTGGCTCCCGTGGCCTGTGGGACAGCTGGTTCTGCTCCTTAATGTGCCCCTTAATCAAGGTCAGGAGCAGCACAGGGGGGAAAGGCCGGGGAAGACCCAAAACCCCAGCCAGGGCACCTCTGGCCTCCCTCCTCGGCACAATCACAAAGGAAAGACTTTAACAAGGGGGTGTACCGCTGTCACCTGAGGGCCTCCCTGCGTGTGTCACGAAGGGCCATTCCTTGGCTGGGGTCCGACAACCCCCACACCCGCCGTACCCAACCCTGCCACTCCTCACAGCAACGGGCGCCATGCGGGAGGCTCGGTCTTCTCCCAGTGACAGAGGAGCTCGGGCATCACCGCGCCCAGGGCGGCCCCCTCCCCCCCAGCTGTCCAGGGACACCTCACCTGCCGGCTTGAAAGCGATTCGGCTCTTCTTGCCCTTGTTCACCTGCCTTAAGAAACCCTCTTTGAGCAGCTCGGCAGCGGTGGCACGTTTGTGGGGGGCAGGCTCAAAACAGGATAAAATGAAGGCTCTGGCATCCATTGAAAGGGCTTCTGGAATCTCAGGGTGGATCTTAAACATCCCCACCTGCATTTAAGGGAGAGGTGACCGATGTGACTGTGAGGCCTCAGGCACACCCAGGTGTACAAGCCTTCAATACAAAGCTCCCACCCCTGCCATCCTTTGAGAGGCCGGCGGATGAGATCCTCCTCAATGACTCGCCCGGCTGGCCTCCTGGGACTTGGCTCTGCCCCGTAGATCGCAGGAAAAGTGTTATTAGAGGAGTTTCAGAGCCTAGGCCGTAAGAGGTCTTGGGGCTTCTCTTCTGTTCTAGTCCTCTTGGAGCTCCGAGCCCACCATGGAGGGAGGCTCCAGAGTTTGGGCTTGGAGGGAGGGGAGCAGAGAGTCACTCAGCGCAGGGCGCAAGGTTTCAGGTCAACAAGATGAATACACTGTGGAGCTCTGTCGTACAACACGGTACGAAGACTCAGCAGTTTCGTCGTATGCGCCTTCAGGTTTGTTAAGGGGGCAGAGCTCATGTTAGCTATTCGTACCACGATAAAATACAAGCTTTTAAGTCGAGTTTTAGATTTTGAGAACATTAAAGGCTGGATGGAATATAACCCCTAAGATGTGAAATGCAGGACACATGACAGGTGGTGCCCCTCACCTAAGGGGCAGGGAGGGAAGGGCACCAGGGGGCCCTAGACAGAAATTCAGGACAAGAACCCCAAGAAGAAAGGAATGGCTTGCCTTCAGACTCTTAGGAAACAGCAAATGTGGGCAGCACCTTGGCACCGTGCCAATACATTCTTTCTAAAGGTGCTTTGCTATTACTCCAGGGGTCCCTGTATTAGTCTGCTGGGGAAGGGGTTGTCACCAAGCACCACAAACTCAGTGCCTTCAAACTAGGAAAATTGATGTTCTCACAGTTTTGGAGGCTGGAAGTCTAAAATCAAGGTGCTGACAGGGCCACACTCCCTCCGAAACCTCCAGTGGATCCTTCCTCGCCTCTTCCAGCTTCTGGTGGTTGCGGCTCGTAGACACATCACCCTCACCTTGGCCTTCACGTGGCGCTGTGTCTCTTCACAGCATCACCGCTCAGGCCCTGATGTTTTTCTCAGCACCGGCTACTATCTATCATCCTGAGGCCCGTGACGAAGCTGCGGGTAAGATCTTTAAAAACTGCACCTGGCTCGGGCGCCTGGGTGGCTCAGTTGGTTAAGCGACTGCCTTCGGCTCAGGTCATGATCCTGGAGCCCTGGGATCGAGTCCCACATCGGGCTCCCTGCTCGGCAGGAAGTCTGCTTCTCCCTCTGACCCTCTTCCCTCTTGTGCTCTCTATCTCTCATTCTCTCTCTCTCAAATAAATAAATAAAATCTTAAAAAAAAAAATTAAAAAAAAAAACTGCACCTGGCTCCATCACGGATCAACACTAAGGATGGGGAAGGTCATTGCTGTCCCCCAGCCCTGGTGTTCAGGGTCTTGTTGAGACTGTGGGTGCCAGAAGATACTTGCTGACTTGAGGTCTTGGCGTCGGAGCTGCCTGACAGCGGCTGGGAGGGTGGGAGACCCCGAGAACGTTCTGCAGGGGCCGGCTGAGGGGAGCAGCCATGGCTCCGGCAGCACAGGGTGCTCGGTCTGCTGAGCGGCCTGCACTCGTGCCTTTTAGTTGTTTCTGCCCAAGAGTGAGTGAGAGCGTCCGGCAAAGATGCAGGCCACAAGGTTGTGGGGCCGACAGGCTGAGGCCACCACACCTGGCAGAGAAGCAGGAAGCAAGGCCTCTGGATCCTGTTCCATCGGGCTGCTTCGGTGTCCTGGGACCTCACTGGCCATAAGCAGTGAACCTGCTCTCTTCCTTCTTAGCCTTGAGGCGAACACAAATGCTCCACGGAAGGCTGCCGAGGGACTCTTAAGGCCACAGCCTCTCTTTACCTTCTCTGAGTGCACAAAGAGCCAGAAGCCACAGACCTGACCTGAGACACATGGGGTTGTCCTGGCGTCAGCTTACCCTGGGGTGGCAAACGTGGCCCTTCCCAAGGAAGAAGGCCCCGGGGGGTAAAATCCCTGCCCATAGTGGCCAGTCAGTCCTAAGTGGGCCTCAACACATGCGGTGCCCTGTCTGCCAGCTCTGGGAGGGCTTTTCGAATGACAAAGTAATCACCGTCTGCTATCTGAAGTCCTACCTCTTCAAAACCCAGTTAGAAACCTGCCCTCCAAAGACAGAGACTCATGTGGCCTTAAGCCTTGCCCAGTGTAAGGGCAAATACACATTCAAAATCAGAGGCTTCATCCTCCCTGATGAAAATAAGGGGAGACCCTCCTCTTTTCTTAGAGCACTTACTTTAAGAAAACGTGTAATTCCAAGTTCTTGATCTCTGTGAGGTGCACTGAATCTTTTTAAAAAGGGAATAAACCTCTTGGCAAGAATGTCTTTCTCAAGGACCTGGGGGCCAACTCCTGGAAATGTCAACATCAAGGAGGAGACGTCCCCACCTCCCAGTTCCAGCGGGTAGGGAAGAGCCTAACTAAAGTAACGTCTTGCTCCAAAACTACCTCCTTTTTTTTTTCTTCAAGATTTTATTTATTTGAGAGAGAGAGAGAGAGAGAGAGAGAACCTGTGCATGCGCACAGAGGGAGGGGCAGAGGGAGAAGCAGGCTTCCCGCCGAGCAGGGAGCCTGATGCGAGGCTCGATCCCAGGACCCTGGGATCATGACCTGAGCCAAAGGCAGATGCTTAACCAACTGAGCCACTCAGGGGTCCCCAAAACTACCTCCTGTCTTAAAGATTGGAGAAATTTATTTTTCCTTTGGGTAAAGCCAATTAGCTAATGCAAACCGTTATCCCAATCACCAGGTGGCCCCTGGACGCCCTAGTGTGATCTGTGGTGCTCTCCAGTCCACGCACGGGAGGACTAGTCATCATTCCCTCTGACAAAAGGGCGGTACTGCTGAGCTCAAGAGAAGGACAGGTCCTTTCTGTCTTTGCAATCACTTGGGGGGTGGCCTGTGACCCTTATTCAGTGATAAAATGGTTTTCTCTTCTACACCTTCGTGGAGAGGTTTCCAGAGTGGCAGGAGGTTTCCTTTTGGCTTAGTATTTCCCCAACACCAGCAACCTCAATCAGCAAACATGTCTTACTTTGAACATCGCTGCCTGCGGTTCGCCGAGCTCATGGAACGGAGGCCTACTGGTGGCCATCTCGATAATGGTGCAGCCCAGGGACCAGATATCTGCCGGGGCACCGTACCCGCGAGGTCCCTGATCGATAATCTCAGGTGCCATGTACTGCAGAGTGCCTGTGGGAAAAAAAATAATAAAGATTGTGGGCACCCTATTGCTCAAACATGTAAGTGGACCATTAGTAAACAAGTGTGTGAACTTTAACCCTCTCATTAATGACAGATGGAGCCTGCTCTCAGGCATAAATGACGTGGTTGCATCCTTTCTCTGATTAGAGACATGCAACGGGCCTTCCTTTGATACTAGGCACATCGACAGATTGCCCAGCTCCTCGAAGGATAAACGGGCCCCGATCCAATACAACAAGCACATAGTAGGGTGCACCAGATGTAGGGAAACACAGAAGGTGAGAAACACAGTCCCGACGTTGAGGAGCTGCCAAGTGGAGGGAACAGACAAGATGGCGATGGTGGGAAAATGGAGCAGGCGCTAGAACAGCGGGGTCTGAGAACGTGGATGGAAAATGTGCTGGGATTTTGCCTGCTTCCGGTCAGGAAAAGCTCTATCTGGATCAACTTGGTTCTCTGAGAGGTAAATGCCAAGACAGGATTAGACCTACGAGAGGCTTACTGGGGAGAAGCATATGAGTGATAAAGGGAGAAGGAACAAGATGGGCAGGGAGAGCCATCACCCTCAGTGCCAACGTGACACGTGGGAAAGGAGAGGGGGAACGAAGAGGTGGGGAGGCAGTCTCAGAAGAGCAGCTCAGACCCTTCAGCCGGGCCACTGGGGAGTCCCTGACCAAAAGCTGCCCACTGGAGGAGTCCCACGTTGTTCTAGTACCTCCCCCATGTGCCGTCATCGGGCAGGAGCAAGCAGGGTAAAGCACGGCCCCACTGTGAAAGTGGAGGCAAATCCTCAAAAGGTGGCAGATGGTGCTGCCTGTGAACTCGCCACCTGCCGTGAAGGTCAAAGACGTGGACAAAGGGAGGGTCAGACTCCCAAGCCAAGGGAAGAGCTTGAGCAGAGGCACAAGGGTGTGAGGTACAGAGCGAGTTCCGGGAACCACAAGTAAAGTCTGACACAGGGCAGGAAGTTAAGAATTAAAAATTACGGAGGCAGCGGCCTGGGAAAAGCCCGAACGGCAAGCAGTGAATAATGAAGGCTCTGGCTTTGGACTTTCTCCTGTGGGTCACAAGCCACCAGAGGTGGCCACAGGGAAGGTGAGGGGGATCAGGTATAGCACTGGAAAGAGAAGGGATTGCAAAGATGGGGGCAGGGAGGTCAATCAGGGCTCTGGGAATACAATTGTAGGTTCTTGAAACTAAGGCAGAGGAAAGCAACAGCAACAAACCCTATGTGCTGGCAAAGTGGTTTATAACAAACAGTGAACTTGGCAGCGGTCACTGGCCACGGCGTGAACAGAGAACACTGATGCCCAGAGAAATTCAAGTGCCTGTCTCAATATCACGCAATCAAAGCAGGTTTCCAGAATCTTAATCAATGAAAACAAAGGGCTTGTTGGTTTAAAAAAAAAAAAATTGGAGAAACTACCTACTACATCTTCTTGAAGATCCAATGTGTTTTAGCATTTTTCTTTCCAGTGACCATTTGAAAAGCTCTGACCCACAGAATGTTTTTTAAAAAAGATTGATTGATTATTTATTTATTTATGAGAAAGAGCGAGCGCACAAGTGCGGGGAGGGAGAGGGACAAGCTGATTCTATGCTAGTGCGGAGCCCGACTCAGGGCTCGATCCCACGACCCTGAGATTGAGATCGTAATCGTAACCTAAGCCAAAACCAAGAGTGTGTCGCTTAACAGACTGAGCCACCCAAGTGCCTCCCACAGAACATTCTGCAATAATGACAATGTTCTATGCAGTTCAAGATGGTAGCCACTAGCCACATATAACTGTTGGGCCCTTGAAATATGGCTGGTGAGACTGAAGAAAAGAATTTTAATTTCTTTTAATTTTTAAAAAGTCAAACTAATTTAAGGTTCAACAGAAACTGGGCTGGGTTCGTGTGCTCAACAGATCAGTAGGGCCCAAATGATGGCTTTGGTTTTCAAAGCTGAAAACCTGGTAGGGAAGTGTTCGGCTGGCTGCAGGGTTAGGCAAGATGGGCTGGCAGCACTTGCTGCACTGTTAGGAAATCCCAGAGCCCCAGGGATGGAACTTTCAGTGACACAATCTCCCCTCCCAGGTTTGTACTGCTGTGAATAGTGAAGGGAGAGTCCTTGGCAGGGGATGTGCCTTAGAACTAATTCACAAGCCATTAATCGAGGAAACACTTGACACGGTGTGGTTTGTTAAGCTATTCTCTTTCAGCTCTGCTCTATGATGCTGGGCTAGGGACCCTGCAAACCACATTTCTGCTTTGCGGCAGCTTCCTGTTATGCTCTGTCACTTGGAGGCGCTAGAGAACCTGAGAGCACAACCAGGGTGTGCTCACGCATACCTAAAAGGAAGGAGGAAGGAGAGGTTACTTGCTCCCCAACATCTGCTGCTGTTCCTCTGCGGGAGCTTCCCTTTGGACCCTCAGCTGGTTCCAGTAGCAGTGCTTGGCTCCAGTTTCTAGCTTTTTTGTCCCCTCATAGTTTCAGAACCAGCTTCATCTTGCCCCGCCCCGCCGTTACCTGTTCCAGTCCAGTAATACCCTCCTGAAAGGTACCAATTCCACCCTTCCTTCGGCCCCCGCCAAGCCCTAGGGGGATAATTCAGTCTCAGTTAACAGTTCTTTCTACTAAATTCTCTCTGTAAAAATAAGTGGGGTGATTTTGATTTTCCTGACTGAATGCCAAGTAATACAATCACTAAAAGTTAGTTTTTTTAAGTTTATTTTTAAGTAATCTCACACCCAACGTGGGGCTCGAACTCAGGACCCCAAGATCAAGAGTCGCATGCTCTTCCACCTGAGCCAGCCAGGTACCCCTAACAGTTAATTCTTAAAAGAGTAAGAGAATAAACTTTTACAAAGTTATGCAACATAGAAAATATCACTAAACCAAACTGCAATGGTTTATTGACGCTGGTCAAATAACCGTCCACTTCAGCACAACTGTTTCAAAACTGGGGGATAAGTCTGCTTGGTGCTAAATTTGGAGATTTCCTTTGTATGGAAACATAGTGAACATCACCCTTTATAAAGGTAGGAACTTAGCAATGACATCCATATCAGTTATTTACTGTTATGTAATAAATTACCCCAAATGTTAGCAGCTTAAAACAGGAGTTAGGATCTCAGACAGTTTTTAAGGGTCAGAACCCAGGAACAGCTGGGTAGGCTGTGGTCCAGTTACCTGCTGGGCTGTAGTCATCTGAAACCCAGAATGGAGCTGGAGGATCCACTTCCAAGCTCAGGTGGGGTTTGGGAAGAAGCTTTAGTTTCTCACCACATGGGATCTTCAAGACATGACTTCCCCCAGAGCAAGTGACCCAAAGACAGCAAGCAAGAAGGATGCCACCCTGTCTTTTCTGACCTGGCCTCCAGGTCACACACTGCCACTCTACCTTCATCTGTTCATTAGAAGTGAGTCACTAAGTCCAGCCCACATTCAAGGGGAGGGGATTACAAAAGGCTGTGAATGGCAGGAGGTGGGGGGCCACTGGTGGCCATCTTGAAGGCTGCTGGCCTGACTGCCCATAAGTACTCAATAGCTTACAGAAACATCACTACATAGCACTGTCTCTGTGACACAACTCGGTAAGGTCGGGCAGAGGCACTATCTACTGTGATTCCCATTTTATACAGGAGGCAAATGAGGTTCAGAGGAGGTAGGGAATGTGCTCAAGCTAGAACTCAGGTCTTCGGTCTCCACATCTGGAGCTATTCACCATGACATCACCGACCAGATGCAAAGAATCGAGCGGGAGCCCGAGTGAAACAAATGGTGCCTGAACAAAAGCGGACTTGATGCAAGGATTTCCAAAGCCATCATGCGACTTGGTCTCACGTCACTGGAAGGTGGAGAGCAGTAATCGAAAACTGGGTGCTCCGTTTTACTGACTACCATGTTCCTAGAAAAAACTACCCACTCAGAGTAAACATCCAACAGAGACGGAGCCACACAACTATTTCAAAGAGTCAAGGGACTGTCCCCAAGTGGTGTGCTTGTTGTGGGTGTACATCAGCTGCACCAGAATGGCTTCTGCTGAGAAACCAAGTAAAGATGCTGGGGTGTGGGGGGGCAGGGCAGGGGGTGGGGTGGGCGGGCATCTGATTAATGCAGAAATGCTGGGAAACTTGCTTGCCTTCAATCTGGTTCTCTTAAGGGCGTCATGTCCTTTCTCAACTGCATGTCCCCAAGGTGCCCACACACAGGTCACTCGATTGGCCAGCCAGCCATGACTCTCAGGTAGCTATACCCAAGCAGGGGCGCAGAGTTCAGAAGACGGAGACAGGAGACCTGCAGGCACTGACCCAGCCCCCTGCGGACATGAAATTGATCGGGGGCTCCTAGACAATTGCCCAAGCAGGCTTTTCAAATTGCTGGCGAAGAAAATGCATGGCACAGGGCAATAATTTAGAAGTTTTGACCGAGGTGCCAAGATAAAAGCCAGACACCAAGGCACGGGGCGAGAGACTGATGACGGGTCCGTGTTTCCAAGGGGGTCTCATACAACTGGTTACACACCTCGCACGCAGGCCCTTAGCCCAGGGGACTTCCACCTGGATCAAGGGGTTAAAAAGGTGGAGAGAGGAGAGACCGGAGGTGGGGGGTGTTGAAAGCTACTTCTTTAGACACTGCTGTGCCGGGAGGTCTGCCCTCTCAATACAGGAGTCGCAGAAGGGCTGTGCTCAAAATGGCGACTTGGGCAACGTAACACTCACTCCGGACTGTTGCACTTGACGGGAGGCCACATAAATAAGCATCTTCTACAGGCTCTGGAAAACACCGAGCCCGAGCCCGAAGTTTCAAAATTTCCTGTTAATGAAGTACAGAAAAGAGAAATAAGGTGCTTCCTGTGGCCCCAGGGGCCACTCTGGTTGCCCAAGAATGGGTGTGGTAGGAGGGGATACCACTTTGTCCTACCCCAAAGCTTCTGAGGGCTCCTGGCTGCCCCCCCCCCCCCAGAGCTGTCTATGTGTGTGTTCCCTGCTGGTGAACTGCACATAGGACTGGTTCCCATGGGAGGAAAAGCAGCTTAGAGCATCAGCTCATAGGGTCTGGTGGTGTCACCACGCCCTCTCGACAGTGGGTGAAAGATGTATGATCTCTGGACACCAGATGTGGGACCCATTGCAGAAATACTGCTTTAGGTTTTTTGTTGTTGTTTTTTTTTTTTTTTTGAGAGAAAGAGTGAAAATGAATCTTGAGCAGACTCCACGCCTAGAGCAGAGCTCCAGGCGGGACTCAATCTCCAAGCAGGGCTCGATCTCACGACCCTGAGATCAGGACCTGAGCTGAAATCAAGAGGTGGATGCTCAATCGACTGAGCCACCAAGGCGCCCCCTAGGGTCTTTTTAAAAGGACTCTTGCTCAAAGGCCATCTCCCATGGCCTGAATCCCTCAGGAGAAAAAAAATGGAGTAGTGAATGCAATGTGAGGGATAAAAGTGGTGGGGGGCAGCGGGCAGTCAGCTGAAGGACAGGTCTCTGGCCAGCACGTGGAAGTCACATTCAGAGGGACCCGGCAGGAAAGTGTTCCCAGCTGGGGAGCGGGGAAGGAGGTGGGAGTCGGGACAGAAAAGGCGAGACTCCGTGCTGTCTGCTGCTAGACCCACGGTCACAGCGGAAGAGCACTGTCCCCGGAACGAGGACCAGAGTGCTGACAAGTATATTAGCAGGGCTCCCTTCAGTCACCTAATTCAGACTGTTTGCTTCTCCAAGTGCCATTAAGACTTTCTCTCAGTTGTCTCAGGGTAGCTGGCAAAGACTCAGGAAAGGACTCCTGTCCTGGACAGGACGTAGAGGGCAGTGGGAGACAAAGAGGAGATGACTTTTGGGGCGCCTGGGGGGCTCAGTTGGTTAAGCGTCTGCCTTCGGCTCAGGTCATGACCCCAGGGTCCTGGGATCGAGCCCCGCATTGGGCTCCCTGCTCGGCGGGGAGCCTGCTTCTCCCTCTCCCTCTGCCTGTCGCTCCCCCTGCTTCTGGTCTGTCAAATAACTAAATAAAATCTTTTTAAAAAAAATCCGAGATGACTTTTATGATTACAGCCTCTGAGCCTGACAGGTTCAACATATTAGTTACCCACAGAAACTTGATTCTCTCAAAGGCTCCTGCCAGCCCTAATAATCTGGGACTTCTAAGTGCAAATTAGTATTTATTTTATTAACAAATACTTCCGTTGCACTTGCTGTGAGTCAGGTACTGGTCAAAGCACTTCACCAATATTAACTTATTTAATCCTCATAAAAGCCCTCTGAGGTAGTACTAGGAGCATCTCCATTTATGAAGGCACAGAGACATGAAGTAACATGCCCAAAGTCACACAGCTAGCAAGCAAGTGGATGAGCCAGATTTTGAACCAAAGATGTCCACAGCCATAGACCGGAACAGAGTCCCTTGTCCCAAGATCCAGTCCTAGACATCTACCTGAGAGGGATGAAAACTTAGGTCTACACAAAGGTTTGTCCTTGACTGTTCAGAGCAGAATTGTTCACAACAGTCAAAAAGTGGAAATAATCTAAATGACCACTAAATGGTAGATGGGTAAACAAAATATGGTCTAACCATACCATGGAATACCACTCAGCCAGAAGAGGAACGAAGTACTGATACATGGCATAGCATGGATGGACCCGGAAGAGATTATGCGAGGTGACAGCAGCTGGACACATAGGACTACCCACTCTTCCATCTGTGTGAAATCTCCAGAGCAGGCAAATCTCTACAGAGAGCACATCAGTGGTCACCTGGGGCTGGGGTGGGGACGGGGACTGCAAGGTAGCACAGGAACCTTTTTGGAGTGAGAGAAATGTTCAAAAACTGGACCGTGGCAAAGGCTGCAAAATTCGGAAAATCTATGAGAAACCACTGGATCGTGCACTTCAAACAGGTACATTTTATACCCCAATAAAGCTGTTAAAACAAAACAAAACAAAACAAACCAGAAGCAGAGGGGGCTGACCCTAGCCATACTGGCCCTTCCTCCCGTTCTAGCTGGCTTATACCTACAGTGAAAGCCCTTCAGAGGAACACAGGAGGGGAGCCCTTCAGGGCCAGAAGTTGCCTTAGCCTCTGGCTCCCCTTCCAGGCTCTGACAGCCTCTGGGTTTTTGCATGGAAAAGCCCAGCCACGTCCTCAAGCATCCAAGCAGGGCTCTGCAGGAACCAGCTGAGACTTCTTTACAGAACCGCTCTGTGTTGCAAAGAGTAATGATATGCAGGGGAATTTCCTACCCAAAATGAGACCCCTTCTTTATTATCCCCCAAACACCCCTGCATTATTTTGCAATGCAAAATGCATGCCTCAAGCCAATTACTTGGGAAAATGTGATATGCAATAATGGATTATACATGCATTTTGTGAATTTTTTCTTCTCCTTGGGGATGCTAATAACGAGGTAAATTGTCAGGGGTTTTATGTTTTGAAATAACTCCTTGTCATATCAGAGACCCTCTTGCTACATACTGCCAAGCTAATTGGTGGCTTCCAAAGAGGAGGATATAAGTCATTTTCAATTAGGGTAATAAAAAAAAAAGTGCCAGTCATACATACATACATACTCACACACATGTTGATACATGTATATTTATATCAGAAACAATAAATGAAAATTCAATACACTTTTTGTGAGATTCTGGTGGAGTCTTTGGTGTGATATTTTCCATTTTGAGGTGCATGTACCTCCTCTCATGTTACAATTGAGATGTCATTCCTGAGAAATAAAAGTTCTCTTTAGATAGAGAATGTGTCTCCACCGTGGGTGTCCAGCGGTCGACATACAACAACCCTCTTGTTGAAGAGAAGTTTTTCAAAGCTGAGACATTATACACTAAAGCCAAGGCCAAATCTATCCACTCCACAGCTCGGTGCTCCAGGGACAGAGAACAGTTATGCTTCTTTTATATAGATTACTTCAGAGCTATCATATTCTAAGCACTGTTTCTTAACTCCTTCAAGCAGGATCTTTGTGATCCTTTTATTATACCTTAGGGGACCACCTTTACTTTTTCAAAACCTTTACTTTTTCAAAATCAGTACTTTTTTCCAGGGATCGATTCTTTTTAAGCAGGAATGTCAAAAAGCCACAGGTAGCTTTTCGAACCTCATTTGACTCCCTGGTCTGGTAAACGGAAAGCTAGCTGGTCATTTCGTAGCACTCTGAATCCAGCCCCTCTCAAGGTTTCCAGGAGTCCATCACTGAGACGTGGAGGAGAAAATCCAACCTCTCGACCCCACCTACAAGACCATATTCCCCAGAACCATCAGCTTCCCTTGCAAACAACCATATCAAAGTACACGAGGTACCAGAACGCACTCAGGAACAGGCTATTTTTAGGACCGACCAGTAAAACACCCTCACGAGTTGTCTGAGGACTACTGTGATTCACACTTACTCACAACTTAAAAGAGATGCTGTTTTGCCGAATGGTTAGAAACCCTCAGAAAACCTCAAGGAAGGCACCACACCCACCCAACCTTTGAAGATGACAACGACAGTAAGGCACGATTGTGGCCACAAGTCTCTGGCTCAGTGCACCATTATAAGATTCCAATCATCTGAACTTGGGGACAATACACGGTCAGCTTTTGTTACCGACTGGCCACACCACGCTGAGGCTCTCAGGAACCATAACTCCGGCACGGCTGCCTGTGCCCAGCCCTGTCCCGCTTACCAGCAAAAGTCTCGGTGCACGGATTCACTCCTGCAAGCCGTTTGGAGGTTCCAAAATCAGAGATCTTCACCACTCCGCTGTAGGTATTCACCAGAACGTTATCGCCCTGTAGAAAAGGAAGAACAGCAAATGCTTTGGACCGTAAGAAATGGTCTCAAGTCTCTAGCAAGACTAGCCTCAGCACTCTGGGGGCGGCCACGCGCAGTTCCTTCCCTTCTCTGAACTGGGCAGTCTGCAGACCCGGCCAGCCAGCAGCTGGCAGGGTCTCAGAGGCACAAACGAAGCCGCGTTGGTGGACACAAGCAAGTACCTTTATGTCTCTGTGCACAATCTGGTTTTCATGGAGATACTTCAGGCCTTCCAGGATCTGCCTGGTGTAGAACTTGATGGTGGGCTCCTTCATTGGCCCCCACTTTGATCGCAAAAGAGCAGAAAGGCTTCCTGGAAAGGGACACAGCAGAAAACTCATCAGGGCGATGAAGATTCAATCGTAAGAGCCAGAGAAACAAAGTGAGGTGATATCTCACCCCACATCTGCCATCACGCCAACATCACTGCACCTGGGCTAACTGCAGTCTGTCCTCCCTCTGCTGCCGGCTCCCAGACGTGCACGCTGTGTGGCCAGAGAAGGCACCGCAGAGGGAAGGTGAACGGGAGTCCCTTGGGACCTCTGAAATTCAGCAGGGCTCTCTTTGGCTTTACAGACTCTGTCATGCCGCGCAAAGTCAGAAGAAGAGCGCACAACGATGTGCTCTGGCCTGGGGAGGGCCGGCCCCCCACGGCAGATGCTGCACAAACGTCTTGGCCATTCGGCTTGGGTCAAAGCCATGTTTTATACCTGGCCCCGAACTCAGCGGTGGACAGAACCAGAATGAGGGGCCATTTAGGGAGACGGGAGCTAGGATCAGAGGAGGTTGGGTCTGTTCATCCTCAGTGGGAGAAGCCCCCTGCGTTGGGCCACAGGGGCAGGACTGTCTTAATGTCCCTGCCCTTATTACGTTAGATATTGAACCTTTGGGCCCAAAGAAAACCAACCTTCACTGTATTCTGACCATGTGTTTCAGGGGTCACTGTGCAGGCCCTTGGGCACCAGCCAGCCTCAGCCTGACACCTTACCCAGTGCCGAAGGAACCCTGCTCTGCCTCAGTTTTTCTCCATCTGTAGAAGGGGATGTGCACATTTCTCCAATTCTGCTGTCATCCTTAAACCTTACCCTTGGAAAATCAATTCACAGAAACAGCAACTGACCTTTTTTCTGCTAGACTAGGAGCAACCTGAGAGAAGAAGAAATTGTATTTCATCCTTAATGTAACCTTCAAAACCTAGCCCACTACCCAGCTCTCAATATATACAGTTAGGTTCTTGATAGAATAGTAGGCTCTTACTAGCTGTTGGTTAAAGCAATGAACGAATACAGATTTCTTCTTTTTTAAAAAAAGATTAATTTATCTTAGAGAGATAGAGCGAATGAGCAAGCATGAGCTGGAGGGGCAGATGGAGAGGGAGAGAGAATCTCAGGCAGACTCCGTGCAGAGTATGGAGCCCGATGCAGGGCTCAGTCTCATGACCCGAGCTGAAACAAAGAGTTGGATGCTTGACCGACTGCGCCACCCAGACGCCCCTGCACGCAGATTTGTAAACTGAAGTTTTTGTTTGTACTCAGATCATAATTATCATTAATTTTATTTTTTAAATGAACATTTATTGAACTCTTGCTCTCTGCCAGGCACCATTTTAAAAGCTTTACATACACGATCTCATTTGATCCATCCAACAACCCACGGACCTAGGGTCCTTACCGACCCAATAATTATTACAACGCCAATCATTAATTATTAGTACTCCAATTTTACAATTCATTTATTCAATCAGAAAACTGAGGGGGCACAGAGGTAAAGAATCTGCCTGAGGTCCCACAGCTTGCAGATGGAGGGACCAACTCAAGCTAGACACTCTGGCTCCGGATCAGAGGAATTCTTCCTCTCCCCAACAATACTGCCTGCGTCTGTGGATAAGGCACAGGTGTTTGATTTCACAGTAAACATGTTTTCTGCAGTGTCATTTTTAAAACCTCTGTCCCCTCGTCTCCAAATTATCTTTAAACTCCTAGACCATGAAGGCTTCAAGGCTGGAGACTATGCTTTATTCATCTGTCTCCAGTGCTCAGCCCAGCGGCTGGCACTCAGTAGATCCTCAATGAATATTTGATGACTGAATTAAACCAGAAACAGACTATTTATGTGACACTGGAAAGTTTGTATCCAACTCCTCTGAGAAACAAATGTTCTCCCATATCTAAAAGGTCTGTCACTTTTTAAATGGCAAGATGGATGATGATGTTCACATTATATTTTCATCAGTGGTTTTCAGTGCGTGAGACCAGAATACTAGTGACTACTCACCCCCAGGCACCTGCTCCATAAATATCTTAATGTAGCCAGCCTCAGAGACAGAGCCCAGGTACTGAACAATATTGCGGTGCTTGAGGTACTTGTGCAGGGCTATCTCCTCGTGCAGAGGCTGAGAGTACCTAGTAAGAAAAGCAAAGCCAGCGTCACCTGCTGGATCCTTGGGGCTTGGGGTCCGCATGGCACTGTGCCAGTACCTGCCCTGCTGCTAGCCAACCCTTCCCTCTGGAAATGGTCTTGCCCCTGGCTCCCATAAGAGTAGGCAGCTTCCCTTTATGTAAAATAGGGGACAGCTCTACCAGCCACACAGGGCTGCCAAAGGCCGAAGCGTGTCAAGTGTCTCAGGCACCAACTGGCATGCCTTGTGTATGGGAAGTACTCAATGAACGATGGCTCTTGTTAGGGTCTCAACTCTCCAACTATGCTTTGCCTCTCTGAGCAGGCCCTCTTCCTCTGCCTCTCATGAAGAATCGTGTTGCAGAAGGTTCTGTCTTCAGCTGCCTTCTAGTCTCATTCCACAGACTCAGTCTACACTATGACAACAGCTACCTAATGGACCTCCTAGCCCAGCGTCTGGTTTCTTTAGTCTATTCTCCTCTGGTTGCCATATTTCCTCTTCCTGAAACACACACCTCATCAGATCATCAAGTGCATACAAAGACCATATTGCTTAACACGGCACAGGAGGAACTTCAAATTCAAGTCAGACTACATCTACTGAAAATTTTGCCTCATCTCAGGAGCGCCCCCACCCCCATCCTACCTTCAAGTCACAACAGATAATTTATTGTTCTCTGAATACACTCTGTGCTTTAACAGCTCTGTTCTTTCCTCAGCATAGAATGCTCTGGCCTCTTCTTTTCTGCCAGATGAACTGCTACTCATCCCTCAAAGACCAGCTCAAAGAGGATTTATTTCCTCAAACTGACCACAACTCACTCAGGAAAAGTGATTCCTCTCCTGTCTTCCACAAACATTCTGTGCACCGCCCCCCCATTGTGGCACTCATCACTTTGATCCCCAGGCAAGGTATCCGCATTCCCTACCAAACCAGGAACACCCTGACATCAGGACAGTATCCTAGGCACCTGTCAGTCCCCAGGGCCAGTCCTGAAACTGGCAAAGAGAAGGTGCCCAACGTCATAAGTTCAGCTATACATTTAGGGAATGGGACAAAAACAGTCTCTAAGGTCCCCTCTGGCTCTAAAATTCCCCGAAAACCTATGGACAATGAAAAGCTTAACTACTGCAACCAGTCAAAGGAGATGGTACATACCATCAATTTCCCCCCAAAATACAACCACACCACCTTAGCCAGCATGAGCATAAGAGACAGAATACTGGACAAGGAACTCAAGAGACTGGATCCCAGTATTGTTTCCTCACATCCTTGAAGAAGTCATTTAATCTTTCCCAGCCTTAGAAGAAGCTAGAGGAGTTCATTTCAGGACTGGCCTTCTAGCTCAAATATCATAAATGAAAAGACAGACAAATGAATGATTAAATGAACGGATGAATGATGAAGGGTCTCATAGCTGCTAGAAAGGACTTGTAACCCATCCCTAACAATTCACTGACCACCAGGATGGAGGGCTGTTTGCACGTGTCCATCAGTGTCAGCACTGAGAGCAATATGCAGATGTCGTCTGAACATGTCTGTGGAGGACAGAGCTATTCTTTCGTATGTGGTGGCCATTACCCTGTATATAGCTTCTCTACAAAAATACTTGGCACTCAACACTGCAACATTCTTGTTTAGAATTGGGGGGGGCGGTGTGAATTTTAAAAAGAAATAAATATTTACTAGACTCTAAAAAATATTAAGTTAGTAACAGTGGTGGTTTAAAATAAAATAGCCCCAAATGTATGAGGGTGAGGTTAAAGGGCAGGGTATAAAAAAAAGTCTATACTGCAAAAGCTAATTTTCTTTTCGCCACATTTAATTTTCTGTAATGATACATCTGAATAAATCATAGCCCTTTAAAATTGTTAGATTATGAATTAAAGCAGAGTCACATTTAAAAAAAATTGCCGTCTATCTATGTAAAAATGTACAACTTTAGACCTAGTTGATGAGTGGAAATAAAACCACAGTTTTTTTTTAAAATAGGACTTTTGGCAATCCACATGCCTCCAAGTAAAATTGTTCCGTTTTCCCCATCTATTTATAACACTCAAAGAACAAAAGCAAATCACCATTCTAACAAGAGAATGTTACAGTTTTGGATGACACAATGCCTTCATTCCTAAGTCCCCTGCGCCGTCAGTGGTGGGCACGGGGTTTGGGTGTGGAGGCGGCACCTGAGAACAAGGAAGGCCCGCCTTGACTTGCCTGCTGTCTCTCTCCGGGATTTCCTTGATGGCTATTCGCACTTGGTTGCTCAGGTCTCTTCCGGCATACACGATCCCGTATGTGCCTCTCCCCAGCACAACTCTATCGCCGTTTGCATCGTGGTCATACTCGTACTGAAAAAGGCAAAGCAACAGGATCAAAAAGCACACAACTTGTGGGGGAGCCCCATAAGAGCCTAAACGTTGTCCTGCCATTTTTTATTTGTAAATAACATTATTTGAGCCAGGCAGGTCACATTCCTTAGGTTATGTAATTTTCCCTAAGTAATTACTTTCAAAGGGTAGAATTCTCAGTTACTCATACATTCACAACATGATTTTAGGAAATGGAATCCAAAAAATTTAAAAATACAGCTCATATGGAACTTAGTGGCCTCAGCTTTTGGAGATTTTGTCCCACTTTAATGCTGCAATTTACAAAGGCTTCTAAGCCATGTCCAGTACCCCAAAGAGCTGCCTTCCTGCATGATCCTTCATTAGCTTCTCAGGAAACCAACCTCCTTCTATAGCCCATGGGAGAACCGAAGGTCAATAAAATGTTCTTAATACAAAGCACATGGCAGGGCTTCCCCGCTTTTAGGTGGACAGATATAGCATCAAACACACTGCACACATTCCACCTATAATCGCCATTGCTGTTCTGTTGCCGCAATCTGATTATCAAAAGTTGCTGTATAGCTGCATTCTAGTTGGTTCTTCTCGAGGATAAAAACAAATATAACTCTAGGCTGAGCCATTCTTGCTCCTGTTGTTTTCTAGGCTCTACTCTGCCTACTTATAGAAATGCACAGAACGTGTGCTGGTCCCTTCCAACGTACTTCCAAGGATGCACATGACAGTGAAGATCACTAAGAGGTCCCCGTCATGTCTGACTGAACCAGACATCAGCCTGCTCCATAAAAGGCTTCTATCTCACACATTTCTTGGCCAGCTCATGTTACCTTCAAAGTGCAACATTCAGTTCATTTCCACAACAAACTCTGATTCTGAACTAAGAATTCAAGTACCTGAGTCAATTGTTAAAATGAATTTTTGATACTTTCTGAAAGAAACCTCAAAGAATGAATTTCAAGCTAACTTGATAGTAAAAATCTCATTAAATTGTCATCAATGGGAGGACCAGAATTAGTGGCAAATCTGAACAGCTGTGCAAAGACACACAGGTGTAACGGTGTAATAACTGGACTAGAGCTGCACTATCCGCAAGAGCTTGGGATTCTCACACCTGTCTGACTGGCTAGTATCTAAAAGGTAAAAAATCAGTGTTGGCGAGGATGTGGAGAAAAAGGAACCGTTGTGCATTGTTGGTGGGAATGCACCACTGGCGCAGCCACTCTGGAAACCAGTATGGAGGGTCCTCAGTAAGTTAAAAATAGAACTACTTTACTATCCAGCAATTCCAATGCTGGGTATTTACCCAAAGAAAATGAAAACACCAATTCAAAGAGATACGTGCACCCCTATGTTTACTGCATTATTTACAACAGCCAAGCTATGGAAGCAACCCAAGTGTCCATCCACAGACGAACGGGTACCACGAGCTGGCCAACTATTTCTCCTGTAGGCTCACAAACATTCTTAATCTGAGAAAAAAACTTCTATATGTTGTACACAAAAGAAAATTTTACTTCAGTCGCCAAATTTTTCTTAAATATTCTGGCTGAGAAGATACTGAAGTAATGAGGTTCTTCTATAGAGACCTATTCAACTTCATCTCTGTAGGTCACGGAGAATGATGGCTAGCTTGCTCATAAAAGAGTATTTTATGTTTTATTTTTTTATGGTGTATCTTTGTTTTCAGTGACCATAGAAGTATTTGTGCTTTTGCCATACACGTATGTTTACTTTTACTACACTTTTCCTCCTGTTTCACCAAGTAGGGGAAATCGTGTGCTTTCCGAGGGCACGTTGCTTGTCCCGTTGTCATGCCTCAATGCCTGGCATGGCGCTGGTCACGGCAGAAGCCTCCTAACTGCTGATGTGTGAACTCAACAAGTGGGTGCTTCCACCTGGTTCTGAGCCACCATCTCCTGGGGGCAGCTTCTTGTGCAAGTTCACCCCATGTCACCAGGCTCTACGGTTCTGCCCTGGTGGTGCCCAGCCGCCGGGGCCAGGCCAGCTCTAGGCCCCGGGAAGCCGGCAGCGTGCTTGGCCCAGCAGTGCAGGATGGAGACTCTTCTCACGCATCATCTTTTCTGAGTTTCAATTCTGACCCGGGCGTTGAGATGAGGTCACGTGAGGCTGCTCCAGAGCCCATGCTCCTTCTCCCTGAGTGGACAGGAGCTGTTCTCCTTGCAAGTGTCAGGACATGAGTGCTGGGGGAAACCCAGTGCCCTCCACGGCATGTGGGGCTGAGAAACAGGTCCCAGGAGCAAGCCAGCGGCAGAGCTGGGGACCAAGCCCTGTCTGCTTGCCAGCCATGGAAAATTTCAGGTGCAGAAATCACAGGCCATTGAAGGCTCTATCAGAACACGTGGTGTGATGGAGGGCTGGGGGCTCCTTCCAGGTGTGAGAGCATGCAGGGGGATATAGGGCAGCTGTCAGGATGTTTGGCATTTACACATTTCAGGAATTTAGGTCATAAAGCATGAGGGAATGGAAGAACCTCTGAAATCTGCCTCTGTTCAAGAAACAGGGACACATTTTTCAGAAAACCTACTTCCCAAAGCTAACCAACAGCCAAACCACTGCCATTTATTGAAAGTGCTGACACGTCTATTAGCCACAGAACTAGCTCTGACCCAAGGCCTTAAGAGGCAGGTACACTGGCGGGGTGGTGGGGGGCGAGGAGGGGAAATGCACAGTGCACGGCACAGGCCAGGCTGCACCGGTACGGGCTTGCAACTGGCTCAGCGCCTCGGCAGCACCCTTGGGTTTTGAGCTGCTTAATACTTGTGTTCCTGGCCAGATGTGCGGGGTCCACAGAGCAGGGCCACTTCTCTCTCATTGCCTGCTACTGCCCCAGCTCCCAGCACAGTGCCCGGCATCATCAAGTACTTGCTGAAGGCGTGCAGGGGCTCAAAGGCTGGTCCACAGCTTAGCAGGACAGTGTGGGCAAGAGCTCAGCAACCTAAGGTCCAGGTGGCATGGTATGACATCACGTGTGGCTTTCCCAAGGTCACAGCTGGAAGACCGGAACGAGGGATGGCCACTCAGCTCTCTGCTGCCTCTCAGCGGCAGGTGGGCCCAAAGCTGGTGAAAGGTAGCCTCTAGCAGACCAGTTTGCTGAGGGCAAACTCTCCCCTTGTTAGTGGTTCCTGGATTCTGTTATGAAGTCCAGCTACCCTGTTCACAGTTCAGCCTAAGGGAAGCTGCAAGAGATACTGAAACTGACCGTGATGGGACTTACGAGAATACGAGAAATGAATTATTCCTCAATAGGAATGGGAAATTCTTTGTATTATGGAGCTCTCCACTCTAAAGGCATAAGCTTTAATAGGATTACCTTAGAAGCAGGAAGACCACTTTTTTAAAATTACAGGATCTAGCTCCCTTATTAAATCTGTTATGAGAATGGTGATTTTGATACAAAATACTAACAACTGTGGCATCACAGAAGTCATAATATTTCTAAGAACATTTGTAGAGCACTGACCATGTATCAGCCACCCGTGAGCACTTAACGGTGTGACTGCAGGCTGTCCTCACAAATCTCACTGTCCCTTAACACACTCAAGGGCCGTGAGCCCACCAGCTTTCCCCACGCCACCTGCCCTGGTGTACAGGTCTATACTGATGGCCTCTAAGCCTCTGGCCAACTGTGGGAGTAAAAGAATGATCCAGTGGTCACAGTGTGGGCTGTGGAGCCTGACAGCCTTGGTTCTCTGCCCAGCTCTCCCACTGCTACGGACTTCCTCCAGCTCTTGACCTCGGCCGGGTTTCCCCGCCCGTAGAACACCACCACTGATAACCGCTGATCTGGACGTTCCTTCTCCATGCTGGACATGGGTCCCAAATTTCCTCTTGCACAGATGCATTTCATGGGACAACAGACTCCCACTCTCAAGGGTGATCAGGAAGAATAAATGAGAGCATGTGTATGGCGCCCAAAGCCCCACCGGGTGCAGAGTAAGTGCTCGATGACTGCCAGCTCTCAGAAGCCAGCCATGCCTTGAGCACTGGGGCCCCTCGTCTTGGCTCACTGCTAGGTCTTCACAGCACAGGCAAAGGGAAGATGCTGGGTCAACCCTGGTGGGAGAACCCAAGTTCGGGCTGTGCAGATGCCCTCGGGTCCCTGGAGGAGAGCAGCTGAGTCACCAGGAGCCCCCAAGGCGGGCCCTTCCGAGTCCCAGGACGTCTGGGACACAGCACTGCTGCTGCGGCCACCTCTACTGCTCGTTCTGGAGGCCCCTGGGGCCTGCTGATCCTCCAGGAGGCGGTGGGCCACCAGGCTCGGCTGGCAGGCCCGGAGTGCCCTCGCCAGGCGGGACACCGCTGCGGCCTCCCTCTCGGTGCCCTTCCAGTCTCTCAGCGACTCCCTCACCCACTCCGTGAGGTTGTGGGGATAGTTCCCCGTGACGGCATCGATTGTGGCGTCACACACTTTTCAGGCGCGGGGCCGGTCTTCTCCAGTCGTACCCCACGTTATCAGACATGCTGTCAAATGTGGCGCGCAGGTCTCGCCCCTCCGGCGGGGCCCCGGCGTCGTGCAGGCACCGCCGTAGCAGTAGCCCTGGGTGCGCCGGGCCCAGTGCCTTCCGCCCGAGCAGCACGGAGCAGAGGTCCAGGCCGCCCAGCACGCGCTCCAGCTTCCTCTCGCGCACGTGGCCCTGGCACGGCAACTTGAGCTCGGTCAGCTCGCTGCTGGGCCCGCTGGCCCACGCCGCGGAGAGCGGCGCCAAGCGGGGGGAGGGGGGGCAGCCTGACGTCGCCGGCTGCCCCCCCTCCTGCGCCCTGCACTGCAGCCATGAAAGAGTATTTTTTACATTTAAATTCACTTAATTAACATATAGTGTATCATGAGTTTCATAGGGAGAGTTCAGTGATTCATCATTTGTATAGAACAGGGCTCATCCCGTCCCTCCTCAATGCCCATCCCCCAGTTACCCCATTCCCCCCCATCTCCCCTCTAGCAACCCTCAGTTTGTTTCCTATGGTCAAGAGTATTGTTAAATATATTTTCACACACAAAAATGGGACATTTTCTTGAAGCATCAAAGACACAAATTACACAAGTAATTTTTTCCATGTTGCAGGTCTTCTATGACTCACCTCTAAGGTGTCCCCATCGGTGTCCCCCTCCAGCTCCACTGTACTGCCCACTGAGTTGCTTATCATCTCTTTAACCAAAGAGCAAAACCTAGAATAGCAAATGTCACAAAGATGCTAATTATCATCACTCATGTTCCCTGCATTTAACTTAGCATTATATTAAACCGTGATTAAATACACCCCGAGTTTTTACAAGTTCATGGAACAATCAATCTACTCCTTGATTTGACATAGCACTTTAATGGTTACCTTATCTAGTTCAAATATTCATGTGATACTTGAATCTCCTCTATACAGTAGCCCCATCGACTGGTTGGTCAGCTGAGGCTTGAACATCTCCAGTGACAGAGAACTCATTACCTCACAAGGTTGCTCATTCTGTGGACAACTTGATGAGAAATGCTTTATTATATCGAACTAAGACTTCATTCACGTGGGTTCCATCCATGGACTGCTTAGAATTAATCCCTCTTCTATGGAATAGCCCGTTAGAAAATAATTTTTTTTAAAGGAGAGAGAGAGAGAGAGAGAGAGAGAGAGAGAGAGAGAGAGAGAGAAAGAAGCAGGCTCCCAAGGAGCAGGGAGCCCGATGCGGGACTCGATCCCAGGACTCTGGGATCATGACCTGAGCCGAAGGCAGACGCACAACCATCTGAGCCACCCAGGCACCCAGAAATGTACATAATTTTATTAAACCCTATAAATCTTTCTTCCTTGTTCCTTCAGTGTTTCCTCCAGGACTTGTTTTTAAGTCACTCCACTAAAAGGTCATTGTTGAAAGGTGTTGCCTTATTATTCTTCAAGTCTGGCCCTACGACCGGTGTTTAGAGGTGATCTCATCGGTGCTAAGGAGAGTGGGACACCCATCTCTCAAGCTGTAGACACTCTCGTGCTTAGTGCAAAATAAGGTCTTGTGGAAGGAGGAGGTGGGGAGGAAATGAAGAAGGTGGCCTCGTCATTCCGTTGACACAGATCAAGCTTACTATCAACTGTTACCCACAGGTCTTTCTCACAGATGCTGCTGGGCTACATCAGCCACTTCTTAGATTCGTGAGGTTGTTTTACATACAAGCGATTTGATTCACAACATTTTTTTAAAGATTTTATTTATTTATTTGACAGAGAGAGAGAGAGAGAGAGAGCGTGAGAGGGAACACAAGCAGGGGAAGTGGGAGAGGGAGAAGCAGGCTTCCTGCCAAGCAGGGAGCCCGACATGGGGCTCGATCCCAGGACCCTGGGATCATGACCTGAGCCAAAGGCAGTCGCTTAACCAACTGAGCCACCCAGGTGCCCCATGACTCGCAAAATCTTTAGTCAGTATTTTCCTGCAAGATGGCAGGGAAGAATACTGTACACTTGAAGATAATTCCCACAAAACGTTAAAATGTTCTTTTCTGTAACTAATCCATTCTACCTTTGCTTCTTTTCACGTTTGAAAGCTGTGAAACACAACAGTCAGGATTCTTAAGAGACGTGTGGTATGAACTTACCAGAATAACTAAAATTTACGGGACATTATCACTTGTTGTTAAAAATGTGAAGTGGAATTCTCATACGCTACTGGTGGAAGTGGAAAGTGATGCGGCCACTTTGGAAAACTACTGGTGGAGTTAAGCAAAGGGAAACGGAGAGCTGCCCCCAATTGCAGTAACCCCACATTCTAGGTATATACACAACAGAAATCAATGTGCATGCTCACCAAAAGGCATGTACAAGAATGTTCACAGTTTTATTCCAAATAGCCCCAAACTGGAAACAACCCAAATGTTCACCAACAGAGCAGATACACTGCTATACTTCCACATAATGAAACACGACACAGCAATATAAAGGATGAGCTGATACATACATCATGGCTAAATCTAATGGATATTATTTTAAGAAACGTGAGTGAGAAAACAAAGAGTGCATACTTCAGGATTCTACTTATTTGAAGGTCAAGAACAGGTAAAGTTGACCACTGGTGATGGAAATCGAAATAGTTAGCACTGCAGGGGGTGAATGACTGGAAAGGGGCATGAGGCACCTGCTGGGGTGGGGGTAAACCTAACTGCACTTTACACACTTCACTGGTATGTATGTTACACCTCAGAAAATTATTTAGGCGTATGGCAAAAAGAAAGGCATTGAGGACTGAGGGAGGGTCAGAAAGGTCAAATTTGTAGTGAAGGGATATTCTGCCTCATCTTTGGCAGCAGTTTTTCTAAGTTGAAGACTGTGATCCAACGGTCCCCTAGTCTGATATCCTGTCCGATTTCCAAATATGATGTCATAATGAGTGCCTGAGACGTACTGAATTAGAACGTTCTCGAACCACATGATACAAACACTAGTAGTAGTACTAGTACTTTAGTAGTACTAGTACTTTACTTTAAAGTACTAGTACTTTACTACTAGTACTAGTAGTAAAGAGCACTTCCTCAACCTGATAAAGGCCATCTATGAAAACCTGCTGGCAACATCATGCTTCCTGATAAAAGACGGACTGGATGCTTTCCCCCTAAGATCAGCAACAAGACACAACGTCCTGCTCTCGCCACTTCTATTCACCACGGTACAGGAGGGCCTGGTCAGACAGTTAGGTAAGAAAAAGAAAGACAGACATCTACACTGGAAAGGAAGCACTTTAATGATCTCTGTCGGCAGCAGACATAACCTTATATACAGAAAATCTTAAGGAATTCAATAAAAAGTATGAGAAGTAGGGCGCCTGACTGGCTCAGTTGGTAGTGTGACTCTTGATCTCAGGGTCATGAGTTTGAGCCCCACACTGGGCAGAGAATTTACTTAAAAAACATAATCTTAAAATACTAGTAAAAAGTATTAGAACTAGTAAATGAATTCAGCAAGATTGCAGGATACTAAATATATAAAAATCAAGCATATTTCTATATACTAGCCATGAACACTCTGAAAATGAAATTAAGAAAACTCTATAAGAGCATAAAAAAATACCTAGGTCTATGTTTGAAACAAAAGACGTATGAAACTTGTACTCTGAAACTGCAAAAAACCGTTGTAAGAAATTAAAGAAGACCTAAACAAATGGACAGCTATGCCGTGCTCTGGGATGGAAGGTTTACTATGGTTAGAACGACACTACTGCTCCAATTGGTCTACATCTCCACGGCAATCCCTGTCAAAATCATAGCTGCCTTTTTTGGAGAAACTGACAGATTCTAAAATTCACATGGAAATGCTAGGAAACACACTAACCAAAGCAACTATTAAAAGCAAGGACAACGTTGGGAGGACTCACATTTCCTGATTTCCTTACTATGAAGCTACAGTAAGAAAGAAAAATGTGGTACTGGTGTAAGGACAGACATACAGAGCAAGGGAACAGAAGTATAATTCTGGAAATAGACTCTTACATTTATGGTCAACCGATTTTCTAAGAGTGCCAAGACCATTTAGTAGGAGAAAGAAGTCTTTTCAACAAATGGGCTGCATCGACCACATATCCACATGCAAAAGGATGAAGCTGGACCCCTACTTCACACCATATACAAAAATGACCTCAAAATCGTCCAGAGAGGGGGGGTCCGGGTGGCTCAGTCATTAAGCGTCTGCCTTTGGCTCAGGTCATGATCCCAAGGTCCTGGGATCGAGCCCTACATCGGGCTCCCTGCTCTTCGGGAAGCCTGCTTCTCCCTCTCCCGCTCCCCCTGCTTGTGTTCCCTCTCTCGCTGTCTCTCTCTCTGTCAAATAAATAAATTAAAAAAAAAATCAACCAGAGACCTAAATCTAAGAGCTAAAACTCTTAACAAGAAAACAAACACCATACAGAACCTTGGGTCAGGCAACACCTTCTTAGGTGACCCCCAAAACACAAATGACCAAAGAAAAAACAAACCGAACTGCATCAAAATATAAAGCTTATGTACCGCGGAGGGCCCCATCGACAGTGACAAACCACCCACAGAATGGGGGCGGGGGAAGTTGTGTGCAAACCACACATCTGATCAAGGGCTTGTATCCAGAATATATTAAGGCTTCTCAAAACCATTAACAGAAATACAAATAACCCAATTATAAATGGGCAGTTTGGAGAAGACTGGCAAACACCACCTTCACCAGCTGAGCCAAGTTAATTTCACCAGGCACGAGACAAAGATGCCATACGGATCCTGACGTGGTGCGTGAGAAGGACAGGTATCACTTCTGGGCTGTTCCTTCCCGAAATGCATGGCGCTAATGTAATCAGGAGGAAACAGCAAACCAACCCCAACTGACAGCCTACACAACTTTAATTGCCTGTGCTCTTTGAAAGCATTGAGTCAAGACAGACAAAGCAGCACTGATGAAGATAAACGGGGACCACACACATATGACCATTAAATGTAACACATGATCCTGGCCTGGATGGTGGGGCAGAGAAAAAAATCTTGTGTTTTGCTGTAAAGGACATTAGTTGGACAGTAAGTCAAATGTGGATAAGGTCTGTAGATTACAGAGCCTTATCAGTCTTAATTTCCTGGTTAGATAACTGTGCTGTGATTATGTAAGTGAATGTTGTTTTTAGGAAATATGCACTCAAGTAGTGAGAGGTAATGAAGCATTATGTCTACAACTCACTCCTCAGGAGTCCAGAACAAAAATAATCATATGCATATGGAGTGAAGGTAAGTCAAGTGTGGTAAAGGGTTAACACTGGGGAATTCTGGGTGAAACACGCATGGAAATTCTTTGTACTGTTTTTCTCCAATTTTTTATTAATTAAAAACTTTTTTTTTTTAAAGTTTAAGTAGGCTCCACACCTGTTGTGGGGCTTAAACTCACAACCCTGAGATCAAGAGTTGCATGCTCTACTGACTGAGCCGGCCAGGTGCCCCTCTGAAACTTTCTTGTAGCTCTGAATATTTTCCAAAATAAGAGGTTAAAAAAATTCTTTTAATTGGGTGAAGGATTTGAGCAGATAGTTCTCCAAAGAAGATATATAAATGGCCAGTAAGCTCATGAGAAGATGCTCAGTATCATCAGTCATTAGGGAAATGCAGATCAAAACCACAGTCAGATCCTACCTAACGCCCACTAGGACGGCTGGAGGCACAAGGACACACAGTAACGCGTGCAGCAAGGACAGGGAGAAGTCAACCTTCATATGCTGCTGCAGACAATGTAAAACTGGACCACAGTCTGGCAGTTCCTCAAAGGTTAAACACAGAGTTACCTAAGACCCAGTAATTTAGCTCCAAGAGAAATGTAAACATAGGGCCACGCAAAAACTGGCACGTGAACGTTCTAGTAACATTATTCGTAATAGCCAACAAGTGGAACCAACCCAGATGCCTCTCAACCGAATAGATAAATCAAATCTGTCTGTACAACGGAAGGGTGACGAGCCACAACAGGAACAAGGTCCTGATACAGCTACGGCACAGGTGAACCTTGAGAGCATTATAACAACTAAACAATGTCAGACACAAAAGACTAAATATGGTATGATTCCATTTATATGAAACGTCAAGAATAGGCAAATCCAGAGAGACAGAGAGTAGATTAGATTTTGCGCAAGGCTGGGGTAGGGGGATTAGGTTGAGGGAAAATGGGGAGTAACTGGTAATGGACACTGGGCTTCTTCTGGGAGTCATGAAAATATTCTAAAGTTAGACTGTGGTGATGGTTGCAAAACCGTGAATATACTAAAAAAGACTGAATCGTACACTCTCAATGGGTGGACTGCATGGTATGTGAATTATACCTCAGTGAAGCTGTAAAAGTAACTTTCTATAAGTTAAAATTTCAGGAAAGGCAGCATATCAAATAAATATTCTTCCCAACAAAGACCCTTTAAAATTGATTTGCCATGGGAGCGCCTGGGTGGCTCAGTCGTTAAGCGTCTGCTTTGGGTCCTGGGATCGAGCCCCGCATCGGGCTCCCTGCTCGGCAGGAAGCCTGCTTCTCCCTCTCCCACTCCCCCTGCTTGTGTTCCCTCTCTCTCTCTGTCAAAATAAATAAATAAAATCTTTAAAGAAAAATTGATTTGCCATAATTACATCACAACCCCCTGAATCAGCTGTAACTCACCTATTACACTGGTCTTCGGTAGAAAAGTAGATTTGAAAGTCATCGGAATTATCGTGGACATAAAGAAAACAACACCGCTCATCAAACTTGGATATGCTGTAAAATTGGAAAAACATAAGGCAGCTTACATATAAGTTATGATGTCACTTATACATTTTTGAGAAAAATCTAGTCATAGATTTTCTCCCATTTTTACAAATTTGAAAGATTCATTAATGTTTTAATCACTACTCCCCAAATTTGACTTCTATTTCTCTACAAAATTTAAATAGCAGGGACATTTATCTTGCGTATGTTTGAGTTTGTATTCATCAAACGACTTTCATTTGTATGGAGAACTTACCATAGGTACAGCACTAAGCAAAGCCTAGAGCAGCAAGAAAGGGCAATCAATATGGTCTCTGTCCTCAAGAATTTATAATTTCACACACAAGACAGGAAGCTTATTTGTGAAATAATGTATTATGGTATCTAAGGAATTTCAAGACTTGAAAAATATCAGGACACATTATTTGGGGCCACACAAGGGAGGCAGAAATACACATGGCATCTTAGCTCAAGAAAGGCCATTACAGGTTATCTGGTCCTTTTCCCTCTAAGGTCAGGATCTGACTCTATAGCACCTCAGTCAATATTCCGCTTTCCTGGACATACCTGGAGACAGAAAATCACCATACTCCATTTGCTGATGGATTTTACTGCTCGAAAGTTATTTACCTACACTGGGCCAAGCCTACACGATGGCCCTCCTTTTGCCAAGTGGCACCACGGAAAAGCCTAAATTCCCTTCAAACAAATGATGCCACTTTATCTTCCCCTAAGTCATCTCTCCCTGAGATCCATAGTTTCTTTAGCCATTCTTCATGTGTCAGGGATTACATGACAAATACTTAGTTGAAAGAGCAACAGGGTGATTTAAAAATAATGAAAACTAGGTTATACATAAGTTTTGGAAACAAATTTGTAAAGAAACTATCACGGTTATTTGGGTAGCACTTTGTTCAACATGTGCTCTTTATAGCACATTGGTTCCAGGGTCTGATTCACCCCAGGTCCTTTGCACGTCCCTGTTGATGGTTGAACGGCAGCAAGAGGTAGCTGTATGAGAAGGCACAAACAAAAGGTTCTTGACTACATATTCTCATACCACTTAGTTTCTGGAGTATTCAGTTTTTGAAAATGTTCAACACTGAATTATAGTTTTGCATCAGTATTACTCAAATACACTACTATTCTTAAATTATTTCCCTCCCTTTAAAGTGAGAAAAATATTATTCTAATTTAAACAGTGCTGTGTCTAGAACAGGATCATACCATGTCTGAAGGTAAAAGGGGATTCAACAGTGGCCTGTGGTCTTACAATCAGATAAAGAACATACAGTTCTAATCCAAGCCCTTCATTTAATGGAAACTATGAACCGAGTCCTGGGGAGGCTAAGTGATTCTGTCAAGGTTAAACAGTGAAAGCGGGATTACAATTCACATCTGCTTCAGAGCTGCTCCTACCGTTGGATGTGCTGGCAGGGTGAGGCTCAAAGTGTAGCCACAAGGGTCGCCAAATGGTGGTCACCCCTGATCCAAAGAGCAAGCACCACAGCTCTCCTTGGACTACACCACCTGCTCCCCAAATGAGAACAATGCCCTTGGCTCCATTACTGTACTCAGGAGACCCCAACTGAGTGTCATTACCAAGTAATTCCTTCAGTTACTGGGATTCTGGGGTTCCCTGAGCACTTGAACATCCATGGTTCAAAGAAGAAACGCCTTCTCTTTCTACCGATCTAACTTCATTTTTTAAAAAAAGTTTGAGACGAGAAAGTTTAGTCTATTGGATACCAAAAAAAGCTTCTCTGTTACAACAAGCCAAGAAGCCCTTATTAGCAGCACATGAACAAGCTCAGGATTCTGATAAAAATGAGAATATCACATCTTATAAATAAGTGGAAACATTAAACTAAAACGCTGTCATTATTTGTATTAAAACAATAATTCCATTTTCCCTTATGTTCTTACCTTATTCCCCTAATGGAAGAAGCTGTAAAATTCCATTCATGAATTTGTTTCTGGAGGTTTTAAAAACAGAAGTCAGTAGAGCTTGATTTTTTCCATGCAAAAAAATAACTTTTGGTTTCATTCTCTGGTCAATCACTTCTGCTATTTTACTTTCAAGAGAGATTTAGGAGTTAGAGCAATATATTTTATATAACTTGGAAGACCAGAAACATTTTCTCATGTATTACAAAAATTCATTTGTATCTCTACTCCAGTTTAGAGCAAATGATCTAAAGTTGAAACAGAAAAAGCAGAGAATAAGCACACACTGAATGGACTTTCATCTTCTGTCAACATATCAGGAAAACTCTAAAATGAGTTTGAGAACAGCCCACCTAAATTGAATGACCTGTGAAAATATTTGCAGAAGGAAAAATGTGGCAGCCACCAATCAGTGTTCTCCAATCTTTCTTTTTTCCCCTGGGCACACAGCCAAGAATACATTTCCCAGCCTCCCCTGCAGCTAGGTGGGGCCACGTGATGGAATTTTTTTTTTCATGTGATGGAATTTTGACCAATGGGATTTGAGGAGGAAAGATGTGCACCATCTGTGGGCGTGGTTCATAATAACCTCCCCAGCCATCCTTTATTCCACTACAAGAGGGAATGTGGACCCTACTGCAAGTTTATGACACAAGGCATAAACTTTTATCACGTTAAGACATTGATATTTGGGTGCTATTTGTTTTAGCAGATAGCTTGCCATAACTAACACAAAGACTAACCTGGATTTCATTTTGTACAATGTGCATTTTTAAAAATAACTCTGGGGGCACCTGGATGGCTCAGACAGTTAAGCGTCTGCCTTCAGCTCAGGTCATGATCCCAGAGTCCTGGGATCGAGCCCCACATCAGGATCCCTGCTGAGCAGGGAGCCTGCTTCTCCCTTTCCCTCTGCATGCCCCTCCCCCTGCCTGTACTCTCTCTCTCTCTCTCCCTGTCAAATAAATAAAATCTTAAAAAAAAAAAATAACTGTTCCCTCCCTCCACCACCACTGCCCGCACTTAATAAACACTGCACAAAGCTAAGCCTCAGAACAAAGATCTGAAATCTGTTCCAGAAGAGCCATAGGCTACAATACCAATACATCGTAACAGAAAATCATTTAAAATAAGAAAGCACACGTGGTTGGCCTGAAAAATGGCATAAATGACCAGTTAAGCCCCCCAGAGAAGTGTGAGAGCCAGAAGACTGAGCATATGGCTTAGGAGAATAGCCACGAGCAGCTGGGTGACAAGTTTCCTGCCATCCTGGAGAAACGACAACATGAACACCTGGGAGGATGGCCCTCAATGGGAAAAAATCCATTCATCCGTGTCAATTAAGCACCTACTATGTGCCAGGCAAGGTACCAGCACTGAGGATGTAGCAGAGAACAAAGCCTGTGCCCTCATGGAGCTTACATGCGAGAAGAGAGGAGCAACAAATTAAGTGGTAATTTAACATCATGACAGAGGACAAAAAGCAATACAAAGCCGGAGAGCTGGGAAGGGCGTTAAGGTGGAGCGGCCATCATGGCATTTAGGCTGGATGCCCCGGGAAGGGGTCTCTGATGACTTCTCAGCAGAAGGTTAAAGCAAGTGAATGAGTGAGCTGTCCAGACATGTGGGAGGGACAACAGCCCCAGGCAGACGGGAAAAATCCTGTCCCCAGGGCACGTCTGGGAACTGGCAAAGGGGAGTGGGAAAGAGGTTGGAGAGCTCATGAGGAAGGTCATGCAGGCCCTTGGAGACCATCATCATCTCCTCTTCTACTCTGGAGAAGAGGAGAACCCTTGAGGGCCCTGAAAGATGAAAGTATACACCAAAGTGAAAGCCACCACCTTGGACCAAACCATGTAGAAAGACTGAGCATATCTTAGAGGACTTGTGTTCAAAGTCACTGGAAGGCGGCAGTCATGGAGAGCAGGAACCTGCTTTTGGATTCAGGTACAGAAATATGAACCAGGGCAAGTTCGAGAGCACCTTGACCAACCCACCTACAGGCAAGAAGCTTGCATGTATATAAAAAGGCCAACCACAGGAGTTTTCAAAGTATTCTCAGATGGAAGGTTTACTGTAGGGTAGCTTTAGGGAACTTCTTGAGTTGGGAGGAAGATATGCGGGCTAAAAGGTAAACAACATGGACTCCCCTCTTTGCCTTTATATCATAGTCAATGGGCATTTGGGGGGTACCTACTTTGTAGATACTATGGATATAAAAAGCTACAAGTCCTACTCGGGCTTGCAGAGCACTTGGGGAGACATTCTCAAAAAGTGATCCGAGAGCAATGAGAAATACTGCGCATACTTTACAGGGAAGAAGGTAGCCTACTTTCAGTGAAAGGGGTGGGAGGGTGGTTAGAGACGCCTCTGCAGAAGTTAGGGCTCAGATGACTAGAAGAAGAATTGCAGGGAGTGAGGAGGACAGAAGAGCACACAGGAGCCCCTGCAGGGCCAGCTCAGGGGACAAGGAGAAGGCAGGATTATACAGGGCCTTGACACTCGGTAAGAGTCAGTTTTAATCTGGAAAGCCACGGGATTCAGTCATGGTTTGGGGGAGTATCAAGAGGGCCAGTACAGGTGTTTTAAAATTATTATTAAACTTCTGACTTGAAGTATACCGTATGTTCAGAAAAGGGCACAGTGATCATCGCAGTAAATGTCTACAAAATGAAGACACGTTGTAACCAGCATCTAAATCAAGAGACAGAACATGAACAGCAGCCCAGAAGCTTCCCTCATAACCGCCCCCACCATGCCCAATCATCCAAGGGTGGAAACAGCAACTGCTATTCTGACTTCACCACCACCGAGAGTTTTGCCTGTTCTGCAAGAATATGTAAATGAAATCGTGAAGTCCACACACTCTTGTATCTGCCAAGTGGGGTTTTTCGTGAAACATCTGGTGGTGGAAGTCAGGGCTGGCCTTATGGCTTCTGATCTGGTGTCCTGGTGGGTCAACTGACCCAGATTCCTCCATCGTCAACTCGATGGCTGCTCTCCTCCCGTGTCAGGCAGTGACCTTACCCTTTCTGAGGGGGGCTATTTCACCACATCTAAATCATGAGGAGCAAATGGACTCAAGACTCTAGCTGTTCACGTCAGGGTCAGAAGCCCCCAGTAGGAGTGCACAAGAAGCAGAGCCAGGGTGGGCTGCGGAGAAATGGGCCAGGAAGCCAGAGGTGGGGCCACACCTCCAGGGTCCCCGGGGCGCCGACTTAGCATCTGCCCTCCAGGTCCCGGAGTGCACGCCTCTGGGGAGGAGTCCTGGGCGTCTGTGACAATTCTGTAGACTTTTTATGTGCTTGTCCCATTGCTAACATAAGCATAAAAGGCAACAACGACTGAGCTTTCCCAAACAAGCAGCCCCACCTGTGCGGTTGGCGTCAGCAGCTACTCTATGCCTGTTGGCAACTCTGGGGCACAGGAGTTGCTGAGGGAGCAAGGCTGTGTTTGACCCTGCTCTGTGCAGTCTACTTGCACTGTTGTGCCGGGGGCCATGGTGCCAGCTTAGGAAGGCCAACCGTGCCCATCTCCTCCTAACCCCACATCTGAACATGCGCTGGAGGTTGCCTGAAACTGGCCATGGTGGGAGCAGTTATACTGCAGAAAGCAGCAAACGCTACAAGTCCACGCTCTGCTCCCATGTCCCCGTGCCTCGAGTTAAGCATTGACCAGCAGAAGTTTCTGAATCCTTGCCTAACAAACCAAAACTTCATCTCCTCCTACAGCAGTGCTGCATGTAAGTGAACACACGCATGCGTGTGATCTGCACCCCCCCCCGCCGCCTCAGCCCACCAGGAAAAAATGCAACACTGTGTAGAGAAATGTCATCTCACTCCAGGCAAATCTGCTTGCTTTCGCGATCTGCAGAATTTCAAAAATGTAAATGAAGGCAAAAGCAAAAGCTTCCTCTCACAGCAAAAAAGGCAATTTATATTTCCCTCAGACGTTTGTTCTGACAACTATGAGCACTTGTGCAAAACATTTCATCAGTCAAGCAAAACTAGCATTTGCTGCTTATATCGTTCTTTTCCATTTCTTATTACAGACTATATACAAAGTAAAACATTTACAACTAGGGAGATAGTGTATGTACCCATGGGAATGTCTATTAAGGGCCAGCAACAATTACAGGGGTCAATAAGATGGGAAACGTTTTAGAATTCCATGAGACCAAAACCATTTGGTTCTAAAAGTCTCAAGAGTCACTTGAGTAGGGTTAGTTTCTTTCTCCAAGTACTTGTCAAAACATGAGGTGTTGTGTATCTACATCGATGGAATAGTGAGGTTACAGATCAGAATTTTGAAAATCCTCTTGCATCACAGTGGCATCAATGACACAAAGAAAATCAGCAAGGCTTGCCTCTAGAGTACAAGAATTGCAACATCGAAAGCATGGGACCTGGGGGGGGGCACAAAGGGGAGTGTCTGCTGATGTTCTCTCCCTTGACCATGCTGGTTACTTAGGTATGTTCCCTTGACAAACATCCATCGAATTGTACATTTATGACTGATGGGCTTTTCAGTGTGTAGGTCATACTTCCATAAAAGGTTAAAAGCTCAAGAGGCAAATTTAATAGAAAACCTATGCATTCTTCAAAGGAGATATATCTGTTTGAACACCATGTGTATTTTATTGTGGATTTTTTTCTTTTGCACTCAAATATTTAAATTAATACACAAGTGCAGCAAAACAAAACGATAACAAAAAAAAATGAAAAGCACACGTTAGGGCAACTCATCTTCACTAATGGCTGCCGACTCTGATAAGTAAGAAGGTCGCTTCTCTGTTAAATATTAGACAAAGTTACTGCCTTACACTTGTGCTGTGGACTGAATGTTTGTGTCTCTGCAAACCAGCTGTTGGAGGTGGGGCCTTGGGGAGGCGATTAGGTAATGAGGCTGGAGCCCCCGGATTAGTGCCCTTATTAAAAGGGACACAAGGGAAACATCTCTCCACCATCTGAGGACACGAGGAAGACAGCCTTCTGTGAGCTGGGAAGAGGGCCCTCACTAGAACCTGACCATGCTGGCAGCCGGCCCTTGGACTCCCAGCCTCCAGAACTGGGAGAAAGAAAGGTCTGTTGTTTAAGCCCCCAGTCTATGGTATTCTGTTACAGCAGCTCAAGTGGAGGAAGACAACTTGAGATTTCGTGTTTTTTTTTTTTTATATATATATACCTCTATTGAGATATAATAGACAAAGACCTGCATAAATTTCACGTGCATAATTTGAGGAGTTTGGACATATTCAGACACTTATGGAACCATTACCGCAATCAAGGTAATGGCCATAACCAACACCTCCCAAAGTGTCCTTTGGTTTTTGTTTTGTGTGTGGGGGGGGTAAGCACACATGAGATTAACTCTCAACAGATTACGAAACACACAATGCCATACCGTTAACTATGGGTGCCACGGTGTAGAGCATACATCTGCGACTTGTTTACCCAGCAGAAGTCACACTCCGTAACCGTTGGACAATGGCGGGGGGGAGTTGCTGTGTCATGACTATTTCTGATAAGGAATTTCTTGCATGATTTTGGGCCTCTGCTTATTCTCTAATGTTATGTTTCATTCTTTGAAGATACTGTTTATTTTTACCTGATTAAGACATAATTGCTCACACTGTTATTTCCAGGAAAAAAAAAATCCTTCTTCACCAGGGTAATGGCAGAAGTCTCCCCACACTCCATGAAAACATATACAAAGCAAACAGACCTACCTAGTGAATGCACTTGTCAAAGGCACTAGATCTTTTATTACTAAAAATATTTTATTAAAGAAGCTGAAGAAGTACTTTAGACACACAGAGACCAAAAAAATAGTTACTACCACACCAGGCACAGCCCAGTGTTTCTGTGATCTCTTTAGTGGGCAACTAAAATGTTCCCTCTCCTGTATTATTGGTGTGAACATAAACTGAAGTGGTGCAAACGTGACAGGAGCTATCACATTTTATTTATTTCATCTTTAGTAGCTATCAGATTTTTTTTCTTTTTTAAAGATTTCTTTATCTTAGTGCGCATCCAAGCGCACACACGCATGAGTAGGGGGAGGGGCAGGGGGAGAGGAAGAGAGAGAATCCCAAGCAGACTCCCTACTGAGTGTGGACCCCGATCCCACGACCCCCGAGATCACGACCTGAGCCGAAACCAAGAGTCAGATGTTCAACTGACTGAGACACCCAGGGGCCCTGTAGCTATCAAATTTTACATGAAAGTAGTCTTAAATCCAGTAGTTCCATTTCTGGGAATCTCTATTCCTGAAACAACATAGAGGAGCATGTAGGGTGTAACCACCAGGGTGTGCACTGACGTATCTACCACTAGATAGAGTGCACAAGTGAGACCGAAATGTTCACTGCAGGCAGGTGGGAAAATAAATTATGCTTCATCCATACTTGGAGATGTACCACCATGATACAGGAATACTACATTTAAAAACATCAGGTGGGGGCTCCTGGGTGGCTCAGTCAGTTAAGTATCTGCCTTCAGCTCAGGTCATGATCCCAGGGTCCTGGGATCGAGCCCCGCATCAGGCTCTTTCCTCAGCGGGGAGCCTGCTTCTCCCACTCCCTCTGCCTGCTGCTCTGCCTACTTGTGTTCTCTATCTTAGTCAAATCAGGTGGATCACTGTGTGCTATTTGAAAAATTGTCTATGATGTATGAATCAATTAAAAAAGTTGCAAAATAATATATACTTATGATCACACTTTAATGAAAATGCTTCTCTGTCTACACACACACACACACACACACACACAATGTATGCACTCATACACACACTTACACATACATAAGGGAGTTCAGAGAATGGTAAAGATGGATATCCACCCAAGTCACTGGGGAGGGGAATGGGGGCGAGGTTTGGGGGATTTGGTGGGACTTTCCCATTACTTCTTATCCACTTCCTCATGGTTTAACTTTTTTCAACAAGCCTGTATTCATTCACATAAATATACACATATTCGTACAGACACACAAACACACACACACACAAATACATAATATAAACCCATATAAAATGGGCCAACCAGCGTCCTCTCCCCCATCTGTGATTATACCCTCTCATACACTCCTGGACCTTAGAAGTCAGGCACAGGTGCCTGTTCTTTCAAGTACAACACAGACTCTCCTATCTGAACACTGAATTTCTGATTAAACAGCAGAGAATAAAGAGAGAGCTGTGTCTGATTTTTTTCTTACCATTTCTGTGGGTGAGACATGCCACAGAGAAACCGTCTTCTCCTCAGCTTCACTGTTTATAGAGACATACGAAGGCTGGTAGACTTTGGTTGGTTCTATCACCAGCACCTAAAAGAACAGATTTCTGTGACGTACAGGAATAAACCAGACAGGTTACTCTGCCCCATGAGCAAGTGGGAAGCGCTATACTGCACAAATACTTGAGCACCTACTGTGTGCCAACAACGCCCCAGGGCCTGTGGATACCACAGTCAGGACAGAAGTCCCCTCCCTCCAGGCGGGTCCATGCTCTGATGGGGCAGACAAGAAACACACACATAGGGATAGGGAATATGGTCCCCTATGCAGCTCTGAAGCGAGTACGACAGAATAAAGGTGTGTGTGTGTGTTTGGGGGGTCACTTTAGACAGGGTGGCCCAGAAAGGCCTGCCCAAGAAGGTGACAGAGAAGAAACAGGGAGGCTACAGTTTTTGAGAGAAATGAAGCAAACTGGATGATCAGCAGGTAGGTACTCAAGTCTACAGAAAATACAAGGGGATGAAAAGTGAGGTGACATTCCATCACTGATGTTTTATTGCTGGCGGAGAGGGAGGGGGGGAAGGGGAGAAAGGAGAGAGGGAGAGGGGAAGAGAGAATGAATGAATGAATTTCCAAAGCAAAAAAAAACAACATATTTAAGATCACTAAATCTGGGTAGACATTACACAAGTGTCTGTTCCATTATTTTTTGTACCTTTCAATAGGTTTGAAATATTTCATAATTAAAAGATTTTAAAACTTATTACCCAAGAACAAAATCATCATCATAATCATCTCAAACAACTTAATCTCCATTAGAAGTTTAATGAAATTCCTCAACATGGCACATTCACAAAACCGTGAGGTTTTGTGATGAAATATGAAATATAATGATCTGAAGTTCAGTATCTAGGGTGCTTAGATATCTTACTTATGACTCCTTATAAGATGGTCATAAAACTCAAACAAAAACGTAATAAAAATTTAATAGTCATTTTGCTTTCCAATAATGTTTTAAAAATTAATTAGTGGCGGGCGCCCGGGTGGCTCAGTTGGTTAAGCGACTGCCTTCGGCTCAGGTCATGATCCTGGAGTCCCAGGATCGAGTCCCACATCGGGCTACCTGCTCGGCGAGGAGCCTGCTTCTCCCTCTAACCCTCCCCCCTCTCATGTACTCTCTCTCTCTTTCTCATTCTCTCAAAATAAATAAATAAATCTTTAAAAAAAATTAATTAGTGGCACTGGAGACAAACCAAAGCTCAACAGGGAACAGTGCTAAATTCCAAAATTTTACTATTACTCTTGCAGTGATTTAGAACAGGGTTCCTCCACCTTGGCACTGCTGAGGTTTAGGGCTGGGTAATTCTGTGCACTGTGGGATGGGGCTGTCCTGTGCACTGTGGGATGTTTGGCAGCACCCCTGGCCTTCACCCCACTAGCCGCCAGGAGCAACACCTTCCTCGCAGTTGTGACAACCAATAATGTCTCCAGATATTGCCAAATGTCCCCTGGGAGACAAAAATGACTCCCAGTTGAGACCACTATCTTAGAGGTCACAGTTGACTTTTTCTAGTGAGTTGATCTATCACTGGCTGAGTTTACCTAAGACAGATGGGTATCCTAACACTTTGAATTACTCTAAGGTTTTCTACCTTTCAGCGTATTCAATAATTAGATAGCACCAACCCCCAGTTTCTTCTGTTCTACCCGAAAGAAATGGATAAAGCATAACTTACTGGAAATCTGAGTCCATTAGTAACTTCATTTGTTGCCTCAAAAATTATATCTAACCAGAAGTTAAGCCGTTCTTGCCTGGGTGAATGTTCAATAATAGGTTTCTTGAAGCGCTGAATTAATAACAAGTTCTGAACTAACGATCGAAGGTACCTGGAAAAATCACCAGCATCGATAAATTAGATTTCAAGAAACGGAATTCCATTCTACTCCCTTTAAAAGAGGTTTCCCAAAAGCTTCATTTATTTAAATTCATATTGTGTAGTGAGTGCTTCTTAATCCCTTGGCAGCCACATACTTAATTAAAAGAAACCCAAAGAGCGGGCAAAATAAGTTTGTCCAACAAAATCATACAACATGGCTTTTTACCAACATTGGGCGAATGGTAATCAAAGTGTAGACACTGGCAAGCATATGCTAACGGTTTTAAAAACAAAAGCATGCAGTTTGAAATTCAAAGCAATTCCAAAATGGCAAGATTTCAAACTCAGTCTTTTTAAATTTTTTTTTTTAATATTTTTTTAAATTAACTTTTCTTTGAAGTAATTGTAGATTTACATATAGTCATAAGAAATGATACAGAGAGATCTCATGTACCCTTGGCCTGGCTGATACCAATGAGGACAGCTCATACAATTCTAGAACAAGATCACAAGCAGGATATTGAAATGGATACAACCAAGATAGAAAATGTTTTCACTGTCACAAGGATCCCTCATGTTTCCCTCCTACAGCCACACCGCTTCCCTCCCATCTCTCTCCTCTCCTCCTTGACCCCTACCAATCCTCAATGTGAAACTCATTATGTATTTTTTTAATTAGATCTGACCAGGTAGAATTTCAAGTTATGAGGTCTTCAATCTCATCACATCTTTACCGTCTTCAAGCAAACTGAAGTGTTTGAAACACAGCTGTCAGGCAGTGGTGGTCACATTCTCTCTGGTAGTGAATGGGGATGGTTGAGCTGAAAGCATCAGAGTATTATTTTGTCCTTTGAGGATAAAGTCTGGAGCTGTCCTGGGAAGGCAGGTCAGCTAGACTGACTGACTTGCTTGGGTACTGTGCACTGAAGGAGTCACTCATTAGGCTTGGGTTGTCCCAATTCTTAACATTCCAGAGAAAGGTCTGGCCCTTGACTAGCTTTTGGAACATCACCTTTAAGGCCTTGGGATATCCAACCTGGTAAGAATGCTTTTGTTTACCGGGGCCTTGGGCCATGCCAGGTAGTTCATGCTAACAACAGGGTGCATGGTGGGGGCCTTGGGCCATGCTATATCAGTGTCATCTCCAGAGAGGCTGGGGACTCTAAGGTCAACTATGCAGTTGCTCCATACCTGTACAACCGACCTCCCCAGAAAACCCTGGACACCAAGAGTTGGTGAGCTTCCCCGGTTGTCAATACTTTGTGGATGATGCCATACATTGTTGCGGGGAAAACTCAACACTGTCTCTGTCACTCCACTGGGTGAGGACAGCTGGAAGCTGGTACCTTGTCTCTCCTGTACTCTGCCCTTTGTGCCTTTTGTCTTTGCTGATTTCAAGCTGTATATGTGTCTTATAATAAACCTTAACCATGAATACAACAGCTTTTCAGAGTTCTGTGAGTTCTTCTAGTCAAATAGGAACCTCGGGGTGGTCTTGGACCTACAATATTAGGTCCCAACAGTGTAAGTCAGTGTAGGTGCTGATGTAATGAGAATGTATTCAAGGCTCAGCTGTCACCTCCATGGAGTCAGCTCTGTCTGGCTCGGATACAGCAGGGCACCCTAAAAGTAGAATTCTGGAAAAAGCAGCCGCTCCATGAGGGCTGGAGGCTCTGCCTGCCTCCTTGCTCACGAAGCTTCAGAAAGATCTCAAGAGGTTGATATGGTTTGGGGATCAAATTTAGGTCCTTCAGACTGGGAAGAAATGGGGTCCAACTAAAAACAACTGAAGAGGCTCTGACCCCTGGGAGTCCAGATTGGCCCACTGAGCTGGGAAAGAACAGGGGGCAGATGAACATGGGTCACTGAAAGTAAAAAGTATTAAGTTATGCACGTAACCCAAATGCATTTTAGACAAAAAAGAAAAAGAGAGATGAGGGGAAAAAAAGATTAAAAGCTTCTAAGGCTACCTCCTCGAGATAAGCACTGTCAATATTCTGGAAAAAATTCGTTGATTACTTACACAGGTATCAAATGAGCATCTATTCTGAGACTACAGGAAGCAATGACAGACTGACAACTCTCACGGAGCTTCATGCCTACTGGCAAGTCAGCTGTTGCCCACCCCTCAGAGACCTTGCCCAGAGTCACATACCGAACAGATTTTTCATCAAAAGGAGTCCACAGAGAAGAGTGGTTCTCAAAGCATGGTTTCCCAGACCAGCAGCGTCAGCTTGTCATCTGTAGATGCAATTTCCCAGGCCCCACCCTAGACCTTTGGAACCAGATATCATAGGGGTGGGGCCCAGCAATCTGTGTTTTAATCAATATAGCTGATTCGGATACATGCCAACCTTTGGGAACCACTAACAGAGAACACTATACCCTGCCATTGGCTCTTCTTATTCTGGGACAGACCATGAACACACATCCATGTAGCCCAGTGTTCTTTCTGGCACATTTTAATGGCTCCATAATGGGCTAACCTGGGGCCAGTGCTGTGGCACCACTTTCTTGACCATATCTTGGTCTTTTATTTTAGTTCGTTTCCATTTGTGATGCACGCCACTTTCTTGGTGTTCAGCTTTACTACCTGCTTTCTGACAAATACGTACTAGTACCAAAGAATGTTTTGTTCTTGAGGACCGAGAGGACCTGAAGAAATTAATAAGATCACAAGTCTCATCTTGGAGATCGAGCACATAGGGGCATATTCTGTACATGTATGTGCTCGTCTGTCTGTCCTTCCCTCCTGTCCCATAAAACCAAGTGAGCCTGCAGAGCTGTTCTTGCTGCTTTAACTTTGCGTTAATGAAGGAGTCAGAAGGAAAAACACAGCAACTGATATCTCTTTTGCAATTATAGCTCTTCTCCCTTCAGAACAAGGTCACACACGGACACACACACACACACACACACACGCACGCACGCGCGCGCGCGCGCGCGCGCGCGCACGACTCACCAGACTGGAGGTTTCAGTTTGAACAACCTCTCAGCTGCCTGGACGGCCTTCCCGACATCGTTGGCCAACATGCTGACGTTGAAGAACTGACCCACATCCCAGTAATTGTTCATTTTCTCCAAGCTCCCTTTTCTTCCCAACAAACTGTTTAGCCGGACACCTGAAGAATTTGAATTTTAGATGAAGTTATGCAAAATCTTTCTAGCTTCTCTCCTATTACGCAAGCCTTTAGAGAGAGAAAAAAGCACGCACTTTATATTGGTTACTGTCTCAGGAGTGTGATCAGAGAGTAACTGTTCCTTTTGAAATAAAATGCTAGTTATTTGGAGATAATTTTTAATGCTGAATTTGGGTGACCAAATACAGATGACAATGATCCATGATCATAAATAGCTTTACCTATCTTCCTTAGTTCCATGGAAGTTTCAAATTGTTGTCCAGCAACTATCAACAAAACTGCCAGGTTGATTCCTGAATAAAGAGATGACTGGAGCTCAAATCCTTTGCGGTACCTATAATGACAGACCCGCCAGATTCTTATTATTATGGTAGAAGGAAAAAATGATAAATAATAGCACAAGCCGACCTTCTCCTGAGCTCTTTCACCACTATGGTTTTCCAGGCCCCCTCCCCCTTTACAAACAGCTACATCCAGCACTCAAACAGCTTCTTAAAAATGTTATCATCATAACACTAAGGAGTTAAATTTTTCTTCATCAGGTTTATATTTTTATGAAAAACCACGATCACTGTATGAAATGAGGACATTAAAGTGCACAAAAGAAATGTAAAACCTTTTATAACCCTACCCACAAAAGGAGACCACAATTGGATGTCCAAATCTCATTTTAAAAGTGAGACTCCATTTGTACGTGGAGCATTTTTTATTACAGAGCAATTCCATCAATTGTAGGCTATTACTCTGCAGGCTGTTTGTTTGCTTTTATCACAAAATGGAGTCAGTTTTCCCTGTAGGAAGCAGTGCTGACAGAACCCTGGCCCCCAGATTGCTCGGAGAGTTGTGGCATCAAGTGGGAGAAGGAGCAGGGATCTATTCCCCTGGGGTAAAGAACTCTATCCAAAACAGAGAATACCATTTTTATTCCATAAGTTTAAAGAGTGCTATTTTAGTTCTCTTACTATTTTTTTTCTATACATAGAAAGCTGCTTTCCCTTCCATAAGCAAGTAGGAATATCATAACCAGGAAAAAAAAGAATTTGATCAATGAAGTAATGACAATGAAATGTCTTTAAGTGACACAGCTCAGAGCAAAGACTTGTAAACTAGGAGGAATTTGATCACTCGTGCAACAGCAAGAGAATTAAAAACCAAGAAAATATTCATTGTGGAAGGGAGAACCTATTATTTAAGTCAGTTAAATTTCAGTTTTATGAACTTTGGGGCATAACACTGAGTATGCTCAGATGGACCAGAGAATGCTAAGAAAGTTGTTTCAATCCCAGCCAACAGAATTCCAATAAAATTGAACCCCACCCCAGGATGTTTTGGGGATTTTCAATACCATATCCTATGGTATTTGATTTTTTTTCCACACCTTCTTTTACCATCAAAAGTTATCTGGGAAGAGGGCAGACTTCTCTCTGCCTCTCATCCATAAATCCAATAGGCCCAGCTTAGGGGCCGACAAGCCTTGAATGTGGAGTCAGGACTGCAGTCCCAGGTTTGCCTCTTCCCAGCCCCCTGCCTTCCTGAGCCACAGGTTCTACCTCAGTACTGGAGAGCCTGGGTTAGATGATCCCAAGGTCTCACCAGAGCTAACATCCCAGAAGACTAGGCTTCATTTGCCCCCTGGACCCATCACCTTCTGACGTGGATGGAGAAAGGCTCCTAGAACTTTCTTGAAGGAGGCACAGGTAGTCATCTCCTGACCTGGGGGCTGAATTCTTGGCCACTGTGGTGGGAACACAGCTTCCTATTTTGGCCCTACCCAACATTAACTTCCCTTCAACACCCTGAGTGACTCCTAGCACAACAGCGCATCAGGTACCACTGGGGATTTACTAAGAATAAGATGGGGTCCCTGCCCTCCACAAAACTATACTATGGTGGGAGGTACTAAGACCCCCACACACAACTAGTGAAATTAGGGAAAATACAAACCTGAGTGTGGTAAGTATCCTGAAACCACACAAACATAAGTCTAGAGGGACTCACAGAAGATATGTGGGGCCCCCCCAGAAGCCTGAGATATGGCATGAAGATGGACAGGCATACAGCTGCAGTGATTCAGAAAGGAAACACCCAACACAGAAAAAGGCAGGAGCAGAGATGGGAGCCTGCGGAACTCCCAGGAAACTTCAGTTCAGTTGGACATAGATCAGGTAGTGGGAACTGGGGCTCAGGGTGGGTTGGAGAAAGTCTGCTGAGCACCCAGAATGGTGATCTAAGAGTCTGAATTTTTGTTTAATGGGGAATGGAGAGCCACAGAGCGTCTTTGAGCTTTAGGAGGAATAAGGAATGGTGGTTCAATCTATGAAGGATTGACTTTAGAGACACTAAAAAGAGAGTCTACTTGGGATATTGTGAGAACATTCCTGGCAAGAAAGTAAAAAAAAAAAAAAAAAAAAAAAAGGCACCAACCCAGGGTGGTGGAGATGAGAGTGAGGGAAGATGCGGAGAAGGGCTGGAATTGGGACCTGACCATGCTGGGAAGTGAGTGAGTTATCAAACATTCACAAAAAGTGTAAGTGTAGGAGGCCGGGGAATGGTAGTAAGAAAGCAAGGCACTGGAAGCCATCCCATGTGGAGAGAAGAGGACGTTAGCCTTGGATACACTGCGTCTTAAGGAGCAGCACCACCTTCAGGTGAAACAAAGAGGGGGTGATGTGGGGCCAAAGCTCAGGACGCAGTTTGGGTTGGAGATAGGCTAATGGCTGCAAGGTGTGAGAGTGACGGGGATCACCAGGGAAAAAAGTGGATGGCGAGAAGAGGGGCGAGGAGAGAGCTGGAGGGAGCGGGACAGAGCGGGACAGAGCTAGAGGAGGAGAGGGAAAGGGGAGGCAGTTAGAACTGAGGGCGGAGCAGTCGTGTCAAGAGCTCCTGCGACAGAGATGGATGAGGTAAGCTGTTGGCTCCGCCTTCAACTGACATGTCTAGCTTCTGACACCTCCTCATTTTCATCACCACCACACTGGCTCAAGCTACCACCAGCTCTTCCCTGAATTACTGCAGTCGTCTCCTAGCTGTTCCCTACTTCTGCCCTTGCCCCTGTGCTACGTTCTTTAATAGCCACACATCCTCCTCATCCCACTACACATGTGACTTTGTCATTTCTCCCACCCGTGGCTGGAGTCCAGCTCTCCACCCCCTTGAATTTGGGCTAACCATGCGATTTGCTTGTGATGTGACCAAGAGCATGTGGCCGAACTGACCTCCTGGGAGCTCTGGAGCTGAAGCCTCAGAGGCTTTTGCAGCTTCCACCTTTACTAAGAATGCTGCCCACCATGTAAGAAAGCTGGTTGGCCAGGATTACAACCACAGGCAGAGAATGGAAGTGCACCACCAACATCCAGCACCAGCTGCCAAACCTGTATGAGGTCATCTTGGACCTTCCAGTCCGGCTGAGCCTTCAGCTGACCTCAGTTTTAGGAGTGAGCCCAGCACTTTAGGAGTGGAACCAGCCGAGGAGTGGCCTGGCCAATCCACAGAATCATGAAAAACTATAAATCACTCTCTTAAGCCACTAAGTTTTGGACTTGTTTGTTATGCAGCAAATGATAGCTGATACAGCCCCCGGAAATGTATTCTTTGCGTAACAGTGAGAGCACACTGGTGAAAGACACATTGGATCTTGTCACTGCTCTGCTCAGAGCACTCCAATTTCTATCATCTCGCTCAGAGTCCAAGGGTCTTCTCCTCTCCCCTTTCCTGCCTCTCTCCCCTCACTTATGCCTCACCATCCTGAACATGCCCAGCAAGCTTCCCCCTCCGGGTTGTGGCACCAGCATACAGTAAACCTTCAATCAACATTTGTTAAATGAATGAAGGAAGGAAGGAATGAACAGCTCACTCAGAAGATAATGCCCTGATGGTGGGAGAACAAAATTCTGGAAGGAGTAGCAGGGAAGGAGCATGCTGATCCTCCTTCCTGCCCCTATAAATGAGTGAACTTGTGGGAAGAAAGTCACCACTACAAAAACCTGTTTCTAAAGGTTTCCTTTCAGAAAAAGGCATCTGGAAATTCCCACACCACATTTATGCCTTTCCCCCCCCCCCCCACTGCCAGTAGACAGGCAGGCAGGCAAATACACTGACAGGGACAAGACCTGGATCCTTAGCCTCTGCAATTCTGTTCTTTGCAGAGATGCTCATGCTACTGACTAGGATGGAGGGTTTACCACTCAATGGCGTTGTCTCGGCTGGTGTCATCTTTGTAGTCAGAATCCAAGAAGATGTCCTTGTAGATCCTCCCACACAGGCAGAACATGTCGGGGGCCGGGTGGTCACAGCTCTGCAGAACCTGGAGCATGACCTGCAGAGCCTTCTCGCGGTCGCCTGCATTGTTTCTCCTGAAATATTTGTGTGGTAAGATCACACATGTCTGAATTAAGACGCGGGAGTATATATGTGCTTGTTCTGTGAAGGGCTGGTAAAAGGATGCTGTGCTTTAGCAGGAAACAAAATCTAACTCATTTTTTCATGTTCAAATGTAACAACTGCTTCAGACCCACACCACAAAACCTCACACTGTCAACAGTCCCTACTTGGTCCCTTCTCTCAATGAGACCTAGACTGTGGATGAAAGCAACTGCAGACCGATGTGTCTGCAAAGAGAAAAAATAACACGGCAGCCTCCTGTAGCGAGACGAACAGCAAGGATTTCAGAAGCTAAGCCTGAATCATGGTGATCACACAGTTTGACAAAAGATTCTTCTGGAAAAGCAGCAGGGCCTGCAAATTCAGAAAGCCAAGAGAAATTTATTTCTTGATCTGTGATGCCTTGCAGTCCTCAAATGGGCCAAGACCCTAGCAATCCCTGTTTTCCGGTCTCATGTTATAACCACCAGAGAAGAAAATTTAGAAAATTATTTCTATATTCATAAATCAGTCTTCTCTCTTACTAGATTATATGGTAAAAATTTTCATTTTCCACACAGGTAGTGGATTCCTTAGACCGTTGTTAAAATAATATTTGCCACAAAAAAACCTGAGTTTGTGACTGTGAAATATTATGTCTTCCTGTGAAGGTATGGAAGCAAATGCCCAGCAGTGGTGGAGACTGAGGAAATCAACTGTGGCTAATGATGTTCATTTTATAATATAAAAAATTAAACACCTGTAGAAAGAAGTAATTTCTATACAGTACCGCTACGGAGCGATCTCTAGAATATATTACGAAGACAAGAAGGCTATGTATTGAATACTGTGCACAGAAAGCTACCTTTTTATTTAAGCAAAGGGGGGCGATGTGAATACAGATATGTACTTGCTTTTATTTTTTCAAAATGAAAGGATAAACCCAAAGGTAACGAAAGTGCCCACCAACAGGTGGAGGGAGAAAACAGGATGAATGGGACAGGAAAAGAAATTCACTTTTTGTAATTTGACTGAAACTACAGAAGTTTTTTACACAATTATAAAAGAAAACTAAATAAAAAAAAATTTAAGTGTTCCCTAAAAACACCATTTGCCAATAAATACTATCTGAGTTTGTGGCTGCAGCAAAACAAATGAACCTCTGCATGTGGCTGATGGCTTACCCACCAAAGAGACACTAATTCACATGATTTTTAAAACACAGCAATTTGACCATATTTTCTTAAGAGGATATAACCTAAGGAGGAAATATAAATGCCAAGAAATCTTAAATAGTTTCCAATAATCATATTGTTAGTGATGATAATGGTACCGGTATTTTGAAAATATTACATACTTGTAGTGCAGAATACAACAAAATAATGAGGTTTTAGTATCATTAGGAACCAGAGATATGCATAAAAGATAAATAAAATCCAAGAAATTCAGTAAAAATCCTACGGTCCTAAGTATGAATTGGAACATCACTATGAATTCACCAAGTGGTTTCCCTAGCTCTGTCTACTGAAAAGGACCAAAACAATGACCAACTCAGCAGCAACGAGAACCCCCAAGCCCTGATCAGGGTCTATAAATACCATGTCTCACTACACGGAACCAGGACTCCGCAGAGGAATGGCTGACTCCAGATAGGTCTAACATGATCCTGGAACATCTTAATACAAAGACACAAAGAAGCTACTAAGCTCATATGAAAAAGACTCAGGAACCAACAAGAATCAGTTTTGGGCCAAAGAGGGGACAATGTGAGCGTCAGGAAGAACAATAACTATAAAGGATTGAAACGTATCAACTGTATTAAAATGATGAAAGGGAAACCTCTCTACCAAAAAAGACTTAAGCGTCTTATCAACCAAATGCCATGTACAGACCTTGTCTGGATCACGACTCAAACAAACCCACTGTAAACATAAAACTAAAGACAGAGAGGTAACTGGAAAATGTCAACACTCATACTGAGGAATTATTGCTCATCTTGAGGTGTAACACAATCGTGACTCTGTTTTGTAGAAGTGTCCCTCAGACAACACTGAAATCTCTGTGGATAAAATGGCACGTCTTGGCTGCATAATGCATCTGGTGTTAGGGTACGAGGGAGTGGGTGGGGTGAGCAGGAAACAAAAATGACGTGCAGGGGTAATTATTGAAGTGGAGAAGGGTTACATGGGGGTTCACTGCATTATTTCCCACTTTCGGCTGTGTTTGAAAAAGTCCATCCTGACTCAACAATTCTACTTCTAGAATCTGTCATTGAGAAAAACTCCTATCTATCTTCAAGAAGTTTTGAACAAAGATGTTTATTATGGTTTTGCCCCTAACAATGAAAACCTGCAGATAACCTAAATGCCCATTAACATATGAATGGTAAAATATATTTCATAACAACCAAACTATGGAGTATCACGCAACCCCCCTTAGAAAGAGGCAAGTCTGTATGTAATTATGTAGAAGAATTTCCATAAAGCTCATGGAAAAAATTGCCGAACAAAATGAACAGCACAACCCTATTCTTTGCACTCAACACTATTCACATACAGTTTGTGTGCAGAGACAAAGTCTGGAAGGATACACATTAGATTGTTCAAAAAAAATCATTGCTGGGATTTGTACAAGGTGTTCTTGTGCATGTTTTACCAGTAACTATTCTAATAAATGAATAAAGAGATTATTCTTTTTAATTTCTTGGCAATTTTACAGCAGGCTCTTTTATGCTTTCTTTCCAAAGGACCTGTACCTCATAAAACTACTGCATCATTCGAGACACAGATTAGTACCTCAAACAGCTTTTCTCAACTGGGGATCTGCTAGCGCATTAAGCCCTAGAGAAAATTATTTGATTATCTGAGTGACTATTTTCTCCCTTCTCCCAAGTATGGGACTTAGGTAACCCCATTCTGGATGAGTAAGAGAGTTCATTCAATTGATACAATGGATGCCTTAGGGCATTACGGTTTAATTCTCTGTGGAACCCAAACCGGGTTGAGAAGTGCTAATCTAGACACTTGACATTTTCTGGAAGCCTGCAATAATTAAGCCTGTATTACAACTCTAACTTTTTCTATTTTCTACCTTAGTCTTGTTCTCACATATTTGATCTCTACTCTCTTTGTCCACAGAATCCAATTCTACCAGCCTGTAAACCAGATCTCTTAATGAAGAGCCCACCCATGATACCTTCTCATTTTTAAGAGCCAACAGACACCAACCCAATTCAAATTTACTGGAGCATTTAAATAATTTCTACGGTCTGTGGCAGGAAAATGCAAAAGATTAAAACTTTAATGAGGTACAAAATTTCTCCATCTGTTATGAGCCAACTTTTGAGATGTGAAATATTCAGGATTCTGAAAAGAATGTACTTAACACTTTTAAAATGCTTCATTACTGATCCGGGTTCGGGTTCGTTTGCTTGGTTTCCTTTGGACCATTTACAGCAACATTTCCCTTGAATTTTTTTCATTAACTTGAAACTTACCCTTGTTACTCAAACCAAAAGGTCTTCTTAGGATATATAAAAACCAACCCAAAAAACAAACATTTGCAAAAAATGAAAAGCAAAGCAATTTTTGGCTTAAAAGCCACTTTAGGACAGGTGCTAAATAGCTTATCCCTTTAGTGGTTAATCATGAGTTTTCAGATCTGTTTACCATTTTCAGATCCCAAAGTTTACATGAACAAGTCTATAGATAAAAACTCCCATGTTTAATCAGTCTGGCAACATGTTTCTGACAATAAAGCCATTTCACACATTAAGAGAGAGATATGAATTAAGGCAATGGGGGTTGCAACCTTGGCTTCCATATTAGAATCACCTCGGCAACCTTTGCCTTGAGGTTGCACTTGAGACCAATTAAATCATGGTCTGGAGATGGGATCCAGGCATCAGTGTGCCTTATCCTGGATATTCTGATTCAGGAGGTCTGCATCACTGCTGAATGCACTGACCACTTCTCAGCCCTTGTCCTATCTGACCTCCCGGTGGCACCTGACAGTTGAGTACTCCTCCTTCCTCCTTGGATCACTTTCATTTGGCTTGCAGGACACCACACACTCCTGATTTTCCTTCTACTTTAGTCTAATTTTCTGGCTTCTCTTCATCTCCCCAGTCTTTTAACACTGGAGTGTCCTTAGCACAACCCCTAGACCTTGCCTCTTTATCAGTAACTGCACTAGATCCCTTGGTGGTATCATCTAGGGTCCTGCTTTTCCAAACCATCCATATTCTGATGACTCCCAAATTCCTATCTCCAGCCCAGAGCTCTCCCCTAAACTCCAGGTTTACATATACAACTGCCTTCCTAGCATCTCACTTGCATGTCTAATACCTCAAACTCGATGTGTCCAAAACTCAACTGTTGACTGTCCTATCAAAGCTGTTCTTCTCCACCTTATTTAATAATGCTCAGTCCACTCCTCCTGTTTTTCATGCCAAACACTTTACTCAACTGTTGACTGTCCTATCAAAGCTGTTCTTCTCCACCTTATTTAATAATGCTCAGTCCACTCCTCCTGTTTTTCATGCCAAACACTTTGGAGTCATACCTCATTTCTCTAACATTTTCTATTCCATCAAAAAATTCTTTATTTTCAGTGATATCCAAAAATAGCCTGCTCCTCATGACCCCCACCATTACTACCCTGGTCCAAGTAACCATCATTTCCTGCTCCCACCCTCACCCCTCTACAATCTGTTCTCCACACAGCAGTCAGAGTGATCCTGCTAAACACTAAGTCAGACCATGTCATTCCATTACTCAAAATTCTCTATGCAAATCATATATCTGATAAGGAGTTAATAACCAAAATATATAAAGAACTCATACAACTCATTAGCAAAAAAAAAAGGGTCTGATTTAAAAAATGGGCAGAGAGGGGCGCCTGGGTGGCTCAGTCGTTAAGCGTCTGCCTTCGGCTCAGGTCATGATCCCAGGGTCCTGGGATCGAGCCCCACATCGGGCTCCCTGCTCCGCGG